ACCGGAGCAGCTTACACTGCTCCGAAAAAGAAGTCGGCTTAGTGTGCCAATTCCCCGCCGGATGGGTGACAACTTATCACTTACAGAGCACGATAGTTCACACAGGCTCTACTCCACCCAAGTGGAATCAGCTCACGCTCCGACCGGCATCGCTTGACTTGCCTGACTTGATTCCAACTCTGACTTCGAGCGGCCTAGCACAGTTCTAAGTCGATTACGGCTGTGACTCGATGAGATATGAATGAGATATGACTCGACCCCCACATCCATTCCGACGGAATTAAACCCGGCAGTTACAAGTTGCGGAGTTAGTGAGTTATGAAAACCTCCTTCAAACATGTGCTTTGATAACGCCCATTGTCGGCAAATGTGGTGTTTTGTTTACGGCCCATATGCGAGCTGTCGCAATAAGAATGCAAATTGTTAAACTTCATGTTTCAGCTGGCTTATCCACTGACCTGAGGATGACATGTCATCATATCATCTGACGGGTCAGCAGACAGCTGACCCAATTTCGACTCTTAGCCATTTTCAAACGAATTGATTTTCCTTCGACTGAACGAAACCTGAGTTGATTTCTGAGCCGATTCAAACGCCATCTGGGTCAAACTCGTTCTGTTAAATATTTCCTTGCTATCTAGAGGCCAGGACGCAGAACTGAAACGGAAAGGCCACTGGCTGGTTCGATAAAACTGTATGGGGCTATCGTCAATGGACATCAGTGCCACGGGACCTTTGGCTGGTCAAATGACGGAAACGAAATGCAGGTGGTGAACGTAGACACCTGCTTTATCTTAAGAACTCTGTGTGCTCTTACGACGGGAAACACATCGTGTTTATTCCTCGGCGAACTGCATCGGCTGCCGATAGAAACCCATCTGTCGATATGACCTGTGACATGTCAAATCAGGCCGTTCAGGCGCAAGCCAAGTCTGCACAGATCGCATTCCACTGTCTCAAGAGCTGAGACTGGCACGATGGTAGCAAAACATGAAGCTGGATGACGCTTGTCGAGCTTTTCAATATCTAAGCGGCCTGACGTGCAAAATCAAGTAAAAGCTTCAAACTCAGAATACTTTTAAGTCAAATCACACATCGCACGCCACAAAAGTAAAATATTATTGCCCAGTGATTTCTGAATTTTGCACATTTGACCTACGCATGCTTCGACCCCGAATAAGCTGACCTGGCTGGTCGAACCTGCGCTCAGTGGGGCAAGCGTTGACCTCTTGTGTGAGGTCATTCACGTAGCCGGCGGGGAGCGCCATCAGGGTCAGGAATAGCCACTGCAGATGTCAGTTTAAGGCCAGGCAGGCGCCTTGTCGAAGCGACGCTCGGGTCTCGCACGTCTTCCGACCCACCCTGACCCGTCACGGTTCGTGACGGGCTGATAACCAAGACGGGCCGGCGCTGAGTGGCTGAGTCATTCGCCTCCAACCGCAGGTCTGCTCGCAGTTCCATTTCATAGGATTCCTTCAACTCCCACCGTGATAAGATAGGAGAAATCAGACCGCTTTAGCAGGAGTGTCTTACGGAGAACTCACGCTATCAGTCCCCCGAGAACGAAATGCAACAGCCATGAGTTCGATGAAGTGGTGATCTCTGGGGACCCACCTGAGACTGCGCCTTAAATTGTTGCTGAGATATACGATTATTGTATGCCGGACTGTGACAAATTTTAGCGCGTTTGGTGGTTCAAAAGTTATTCCCGCAAGCTCCTCGCAGGGAGCTCTGAGGCCAGTTTTCAGAAGAAAAAAAATGCTTGAAACATTGCACGTGCCAGTGCCTACAAGTTTGACTTACACGTTGGGATTTTGTTGTTCTCAGAAAAAGCGAGCCATTGTGATCTCAAAGAGCACCTTTTCAGCCCCACACATCCGGGGTGCATGGGCGCAGCAATAAGGGCGGAAAGCCCCTAAATTTATGAAAACTTGGCGGCAGCAATATGGGCAATGACCGCAAAAACTAACCAAAATGGTTAGCATTCCTTCCCCAACTTTTGATGACTTCTGTTCTTCCTGCCAGCACAGAAAGATATTGCTTCCGCTACTCTTCGTCTCAGATCGTACAGCTACGAACCACAACGGTACCTGAAGCTTAACTACTAACTACGCATTGCTAACTACGAGCTGAAAGAGCCGTTATGACGTCCATGGGGTCCATATTGAGGTCAACATTCTAAATAAGGATCACCGCGGAGTAAACTCACGTCAAAAGAAAGATACCGCATGATCAGGGGAGTGTGCCACAGCTTCTCACACAGTGCATTGCAAAACGCCCTTCCTGGTAGCCCCAATCCACCAGACAGTAGATTGTGGTGTAGCCGGAATCTCGCCCAAGAGGGACCAGCTCGCGTCGCACGGTGGCCACTCGGCAAAGAACTTTAGGAGGCTCAGGCTTTAGGACGTTTCAAGCTCTTCGTCGCTATGAGAGCCTATTTATTTCGAAAACCTTCGTATGCTCGAAATCCTATTTTGATGCCTCGGCGGTCGGTATTTATCGGCGGCGGTCGGTCATTCCTCCGGGTACTTTAAACTGCCAGAAGGTATAAGATATTTCGGCAACATGGGCCCACGTTACCTCCAGGGGAACGGGGAGGGGGCATGGCCTCAAAGGCCATCTATTTCGTTATGCCACTAACAGTACACATAAATCAATGCCGCATGGCTGTGCAGTAGAGTGCTAGAATACCTAGCATCACTATAGGGAGCACTGCGCGGTGGGCTGCACGTGACTGAATTACGAGTGTGGTGCAGATTTTGTACATGTTGGCCAATTGAGGACGCAATGAGCAGCCTCACGCAATCCCAAGTACGCCCTAACATAATTTAACATCGAGCTTCTATGGACTATGACGCAGAGGCAAAACTCGCAAATGTCACAGCTACATACACCTTACACCACGAATGCTTAAACCGCAGGGAAAGTGTCACAGTCGCCACGGTCGCATACTGTATGTGTCACAGCCGCATACTGTAGCAAAAGCGCACGGATCGCTGACGCACGTGGGTCGGCGCGCGAAGCGGCGAAAGTCCTTCCGCTCTGACAGCCAGCTGACGCCCACGTGGCAGCAGCGGCGCGACCCGCGCGCCTGGGCCGAGGGCCGTGCTCTGGTACAGACCTGCGCCCAAGTCACATGGCAACGGAGCCGATCGCAGGCTGAGGAAAAAACTACACCGCCTCCCGTGACGTCACAGGCTGTCGCCTCATCATGCAGTCACGATCGCTGCACCGCAGCCGACAGACACGGCTCCCTTCCGGGGAATTGGGGCTTATCTCCACTCCAGCAATGCCGCCCGCGTGCCTTATTCGGGCTTTCCAGCCAGCCTATGGCGTGCTCGTGGAGCTGCACCGCGAGCACACAGTTGACTGAAGTAGTGCATACAACGTAAGGTGCAGTTGATTGTTGAATAGCATGCGGCGCGAGCCACTGATAGTTCCTTCGCTGGAGTGGACACTGATTGATCTGGCTGGAACGATCACGCATGGCTGCCTCGCGGTGGCGATCGCTCATGACTTCCTTACTGATGCAATCACTCATGATTCCCTCATTGGAGCAATTGCTATGTATCTTGCATTGACAGATCATGTCTTCACCGCTGGGGCAACAATGGCTCCCCCTCTGGAGCGATCATGACTCAATTGATGAAACGATTGTTTCCTTACTAGGGCGACCACTCATGACTCCCTTGCTGCAAATATTATCATGACCCCCATCGCTGCAGCAGCCCGTGATGACTCCCTCACTAGTACAATAACCAATCCCGCATTGTATCCAGAGCATACGGCTTCCTCGCTGTAGCGATCATGACTCCCTCTCCAGGGCCTTCACTCATGATTCCCTTGCTGGAGCAATCACTCATGACTCCATTGCTGCAGCGATCACACGCGACTCCCTCGGTGCAACGATCACATGTGACTCCCTCAATGCAGAGGGCACTCATGACTCCCTCACTGCAGCGATCACATGTGACTCCCTCGCTGCAGCGATCACACGTGACTCCCTCGCTGTAGCGAACCTCACCACGTGCCGACGTAGACAGATTTAGAGATTCTGAAAGCTTATCGTAGCAGGCACTACCACTCGTAACGATCAGAAACGGCCTCCCATGTGAAATGCGCTGGTGCATTCCCGAATGCAGCATAACTGTGCTCCGACGTTGCACCAGTATCGCTCGCTGTGGAGCGACTTCACGTGTCACCCGTCATTATGAGCCTGGAGCAAGAGCAGGTTATTGGGAAATGCCTCGCCGGCTGGCCTTCGCTTTCAATTAAGTATGAAGACGGATGCGGATGCCAGCCTTTCATCGCGCTTAGTCCACCGCCGCAATCCTCCACAAACAAGGCAGAATGTGTTTTTACAGATTATCCACAACCCTCGCTCGCGCCGTGGTTGTGATCAAATAACAGCTCACTGGAAGCAAAACATGCGAGACTTTTTGTCGTCGCGTCCGCCTTCACGCGGAGTCACGAACGGGAGCGACACCGCCAGAGGAGCGAGCCCAGCGCCCCTAGCGGGCCAAGCGGTAATGTACCGGTCCGCTCCCGACGCCGGCGCACCTTACAGCGACGCCTGGGACGGACCTAGCCCGCTGCGCCAGCGAGACGCCTCTCCATCGAGGCAGACATGGGAGCCCGTACCCAGGACCGGTCCGGTCGATGCGAGACTGTGCCTGACACAGGCCCCCGCTGACCGCCGCCTCAGCACGCAGTGGTCAGCGAACACGGCGCACGACTCTGCCCGGCTTGATCCCCTTGCACTAAGCCGCATACATGCCATGACCCCGTTACGATTACGGGACCGCCAGTGTACCTCAGCCGGGGTCGTCGCCGGCCCCGCACACGGAGCGCCGGTGTGCTGGGTCCCGCCCCCGTCAGCAGGACGACGGGCCGCGCCGGGAGGGGGAGGTCAGAGACCCCGGTCCGCGAGAGGCCCGGACCCAGGACCGGTCAGCCACTCACGCCAGGAGGGCCCCAAGCGCGACTCAGACCGGCTCTGCCTGGCGCGTCAGTGTATTGGTCACACGCGCGCGTCCGCAGCAGGGCGAGAAGGTACTCGTTACCGCACTGCGGCGGACAGAAACAAAGCCTCAGTTGGTTCTGGTGAGTATTAGTAAGCGCGCTTGACAGCATTACAACGAGCAAAAGCACATCGTAATGCGCCGAATGTGAGCAGCGCTAACACCCATCACAGGTTTACACCAGAACATGGCCCCAAAACGCCTTCGAAGTGTAAATACTTATCTGAGTAAACAAACCGCGTACAAGAATATACCGTAGATATACATCTCTCGCAATCTAACATACTACACAGGTTAACTGAGTGCCCAAACACAGCCGAATACTAGCTTCAGATCCCGGCAAGACTACATAAACGTCGTACATCACCACTGACGGAGATTCGTGTTCGCTGGACAGCGCGATTGGCAAACGCCCCAAACTAGTCCTGTTACGCTAGCGCCCGTGCCACAGCCGGCCACGGGACATCCCCGCGCACCGCAGCAGCACGTGCAGGATAGCCATTAATCCCGCCATGCACCCCACCCACTAACTGCCCACAGCCAGCGGCGACAACACAGGCCCCCGCTCATGAATACGCGGCGAGATTACCCCGTTGTACGAGTGCCGCCAGCCCATTGATAGGCACCGCGCCCGGCACGCCACATCGAACATGAGCACAGGACTCCACACGAAGACGCCTGTCACAGACGGAAGACGAGCCCAGTCCGAAGCCGGAGACGACCTCCGAGGACCTGAGGTATCCTTTTGTGGCACTGCGCACCTGTACTGGCCGGAGGTGGATGCCGACGCATACGGACTCCACATTCCGCAGGTGCCGGCGGGAATGTCGGGTCAGGTACTTTGACACACGTTACCCTGAAGTAGCGAACAAGACGGATTCTTACATCACTCGCCGTTAGTGGTCCCGTTGTTGTCACCGTTTGATAGTTCGAAGGCCCCCCGCCCCGGCAGTGTGGATTCCCGCCAGAAGTCAGCCGCGGCGTCGCACATGTCCAGCATCCGCGGCGTGCCGCCGGTGACCTCGGCCAGCCAGGTGACGGGCGGTCAGTCGTCCCCGCTGCCGGCCGTCCGGACCAGTCCGGCTCGCCGTCACCTGCTGCTGCCACCCAGCAGCTGCACCCGGCACATCCGTCACGGCGTTCGGGCAGCCGAACCGTCCTTCGCAGCGGCTCCCAGCCCGCAGCACGTCCTTGTCTCCCCCCCCCCCCCCTACCAGCGCAGAGCGGTACCACGCAGCCGGCAGGTCGCTCAGCTGCAGGTCACGCCGTCCAGTCGATACTCTGACCCGTCGCCCGATTCGCTGTCTGATATGGCCGACCAGCCAGTCGGAAGTGTTGTGGTGACGTCACGTTCGTCAGCCGGCTTAACGGCGCAGCGACCGAGTGATGAAATCGTCTCTTGGCGCACCGATCGGCAGGTTGCGAACGGTCGGTGACTGGTCTGTCTGTCCCGGCCCCCTCTCCGTAGACCCAGCGGGTCCCCTGGCCCTGCCCTCCCACACCGCTGCGGTCGGTGATCAGTCAGTCAGAGGTCGGTCCGTCTCCGTCCCAGCCGGTCCAGCTCCGTCCACACGTCACGCCGTTCGTCGGTCAGTCAGTCATCCGGCCAGCAGGCCCGTCCGTCCGTCCGCGGCAGCCGAGCCGCCGCCGCCGGCCGCTCAGTCGGCGCGGTCCGGCACCACCTGCGGCCGGAAGTCGGGGCGCGCCGCCGCCGCCAGCGTCTCGGCGTACAGGCCCAGCCGCTGGTTCATGCGCAGACACCAGCGATCGCGCACCTGGCGGCACAGGTTCAGGTCGAGCTCGGCCACCAGCAGGCCGTCGGCGACGCGCGACAGCCCCGGCGAACGGCTCGCGTCCGGCGCCGCCACGTAGCTCGACCCGTAGAAGTGGCCGAAGTCGCGGTGCGCCGGCCGCCCGTCCGCCGACGTAAACTCGTTCGGGAAGCGCTCCGTGCCGACGCGGTTGATTGCGCACGTGAAGTACGAGTTGGCGATGGCGGCGCAGCGCGCCTCCACGCCCCACATGGGCTCGCTGAGCGCGCCCACCGTCGCCGACGGGTTGAAGACGATCTCGGCGCCGTTCAGACCGAACGCCATCCAGTTCTGCGGCATGTGGCGGCCGTAGCAGATGTTGACGGCGATCCGGCCGAACTCGGTCTGCCGACGGAGCAGGCGCCCGGCGTCAGCAGGGTAACACCGGATGCGGCCATCGGCGTGGCCACGCTCCGAGACCGGCGGGCGGGGAAGGGCTGGAGCGGATCTGGAGCGATCTAGTCTGAAATGGTGTTTGAAACAAACCCATTGGGGAAACGGGAATTCACGATCAATGTCGGGGTTGAGTGGAGCCAATGGATCATCCCCACGATTTTTTTGGGGGGAGGGGCGTACATGGTCCGCAGCTTCCGCCGGCTTCACTCGTCAATAAGACCGGGCAAGCGTCGCAGATATCCCGGCTCGGCAATGCTCAACAAACGAGGCGCGAGAAACAAACAGGGTTCAGAGTGACCATCAGCCGGCGAATCTCGGAAAACGTGACCATTCCCGCATGGATCCTCCAGCCCACCACACCGCCAGTCAGGGAACACTTGTCGGGCTGCCAGTTGCTTAAATACGGCCATATCCACACGGCACAGGTGCCCCTGTCCCCCCTCCCCCCCCATTGTTTTCCCACAGCCACCGGCTGAAAAGGGGCCCGGATGTAGTGGTAGAATCCGACGCACATCAGGACGCCATAATAACGGGGACCGTTGACCGATACACATGAACAGCAGCCCGAGGCGGCCTGACAGCTGCTCACTCGTAACGAGCGATTCAGTCAACCAATTTCACATAGGGAAGATGTTAAGGCCTGGCCACTTAACAGCGTGAAAAGCTCGATGCGCCGTACGTCAGACCAGCCATGGGGACGAAGCCACGCTCCTGGCTTCGAAGCTGAATCCCATGCCAAGACAAGGACATGCAGCCGAAGTTGAACGCCGAGCCGGTGGTTTCCAAGTTTGGAACTGCGAAGCCGAAACCGAAGCCAGAAACTCAGCATTCCAAAAACGCGAGGCCGAAGCCGAAGCCAATGACCTAGAGCTTTGCACACGCAAAGTTCGCCACACCCAGGAGAAGGAACTGGCCGGCTCCGTCCCCCTGCCTGCATCAGACCACGTCTAGTTCCGAACCTCGCTACCCACAGCTTTTCCACCCAGCATGCTGAAGGACGGTCGCTGTTGGTAAACGTCATGAGACAAACGCTACCTGCTCGTAACCTGGATGTGGATGTGTGTGGTCGATGTGTCCGAACATTGGCGTAGCTAGGTGCGCATCTTCGGTAACTTTTTTTTTTGGGGGGGGGGGGTTATGAAACACCCCGTTTCAGCTGACACCAAAGAGCTCATTACACAAAGCAATGACTAGCCCAGGCTGGCGATCCGCCAACCGGACCACCCCGAAGGATTTTAGCACGGAAAATCACACCGGCCACGTCAACGCCAGTGAGCATTGAGCGGGCAAAGCCTGTCCAGTAACATAAGCCGGCAATCCACAAGAAGCGGCACCCACTAACACCGGCTGAAACTTGGCCAAATTCACCCACACTCTTAAGTTATCAAACTGGCTTTCGTTAATAAATCGGCACATACGAAAATTACAAACTGCGACTGCGGAACAGGACCCTCCTGGCAACCCCACAACACGCAGGACACCATCTGGCACCGACGTGCGCACGCCTCGCCAACAACGCATCGCGTAGCACGGAAGCCACCACGCAGCCCCAGCGTGCCAGACCAGTCCGGCACGGATCCGGGCGGATGTAGACCGGGCGCAGCGCGTCGGCACCCACCTCGAACACGGGGTGGCCCAACGTGCCCTCCATGTAGTAGGTGGACTCGTTGAAGTCGCCGACGCGCGGGATGTGGTTCTTGCGCGTCTTGCCGATGACGTGGCCGCGGTTGGAGATGATGACGGCCGTGTTCCAGAGCACGTCGCCGCGCGCGGTCTCGCGCTCCAGGATCGGCGACACGATCACCATGTTGTACTGCGTCGCCAGCTGTCGGCACAGACCACACCGGGCTATGACACGACCCGGACCGAGGTGGGCACGACTGGGCCGGGCCGGGGGCGCAGACGGCTCATTTTCGGCCCCGGGCACGCATGGGGCACGGTTGGAGCTCGTGCTGAGCAGGGACACGGCCCTCCCTGGACCGGGCCGGGGTGCTGCCGGGGCTCGGACGGGGCCTGGCTCGGGCCGGACCAGAGCGTCGCTGGGGAGGAGCACGGCGAGCCGGACGCGGACTGGACCGCAGACTATGACGCCACCGGGGACGGGTGTCGTGTGCAGTGGCAGGGCGGAACACAATTTAAGCAGCGGTTTGCTATGGATACGTAAATGACACAGCTGGTAGATAGACAGTTATCATGTACGACCGTGAGATTTAGTCACAACCGCATCCTATATTTATCAGGGAATGAAAACGGCGCCGCCGCCATATACGTTAATGGCGTCTGAACGAGATGGGTCTTCCCTCCAAAGATTCACCAAATCATCACACGTGACTATCTTTTCCAGAGGCGCGCAAACATTACAGCGCCCCATGCTCCGGGACGGAGAAGGCCGGGGAGGGGAAGCAGAAGTGGAAGCGGAGGGGAGGGGGCGAGACCAAGGCTGGCCGTCCAACGTCTCTGAAACAATCGACAGTGACCCTACGACGCGATGTGACAGGGAACCCCAGTAAAAGCGGCGTTCACCATCCACGCACTCCACAGGTCACCGTAGATAGATGTGACATACGCTGCACCTAAAATGCGTATGATATGGTCCTCATAGAAACCAGCTGCGGAAATACGCATCTCGAACCGGCGCATTGATCTTCCGTCAAGTTAGTTCCCACAAACTCTATGGTAGTTACACAGAATTTGAATTTGAATTCATTATCTTCGATGATTCTGTCCCGCCCTGCTACCTGAAAAATGCCATCAACACATTTTCTTCCAAAAGATGCACTTAAAAGTATTTATCACTTGGGGCCACATTGACCATTCAGTACACTTTGTACCTGAATTTTCTTGTCACTACAAAGGGAATTCGGTCACGTGGCCACCATCCGGGTGGCGAATTCCTCGGCCCATTCTCAAACTGCCCGACCGGTCGCCAGCGACGTACAGCCACCGTCACACTTGAAGCGAGCTGGTGCTGTTTGTGGCCATGACCGGCTTTTGTACTTGGTGAGGCTGATTCAAACTGGATTGGCTGTTGCAAGCCTTTGACGACGTAGGTTCACCTTCTGTGGCCAGTTTCCCAAAACAGGAATTCGAAGATTTTTTGAGTAAAATCGTGTAATCCAGTTCCTCAAAGCGAAACATATACGACTTACAACTACAATCCACGACACTCCAAAAATACGCAGAGAGTATGCAATCTACGACACAAATATGCACAAAACAATCTTGCAAGTTTCTCAAAACCAAAAACTAATGTACGACAGAGCTTAATTTTGATAAGTCCTTGACGAATTTGACAATGAAATGAACGTGAGCATTTAGGTCGTAGATCATAAAACTGACCTTAGGGTTGCTACTCATTGACAGACAGTGCTGAAGTGGCAAGCCTAAACATGCAACAGCTGCATAGCACTTGCATAGAACATAGAACTTGAGTGTGAGCAAGTAATAGTGAGTATTCCAATCTTGTCAGTCAGATTGTACTTTCGCTTTGAGAAATGGGCTACTGGTATTATTTACACACAGTGACAGCCAGAACCGCGCATCCAGTGAGGATTTTCCGTTTTTGCGATGAACCCCGGCGTGATGTTCAACCTACAGCGAAACATTCCGCGAAAGCGACGCACTCTGACTAAATCTAAGGCACGCAAGAGAGACGGCTGCAGCCACTAATGTTTATTTCATGCAAATATATTTCGACTAATTGTAGATCAACGGCGCCGGCTTCGACTCTGAAAAGCACTTCCGTCAAATCGTCACAAAATCTGACAACCTGATACCATTGCTGGATCCATCCTGGCGACACGGCCGATTCCAATACCCCGTGTCAGGTAACGTCTCATCAGCAGCTAAAGCAAACACACTCAACCTTGCGCGTCCGACACACACATCCGTGGCAGCGCTCACAGATACAGCACGACCGGGGCGCGCGGGGGCGTACCCGACGTTTCGGACGACAGCACCGCTCCCCGGCCCCCTCCCCCATCCCGTCCCGTCCCGTCCCGTCCCGTCCCGTCCCGTCCCGTCCCGTCCCGTCCCGTCCCGTCCCGTCCCCGTCCCGCCCCGCCCCGCCCCGCCCCGCCCCCGCCCCGCCCCGCCCCGCCCCGCCCCGCCCCGCCCCGCCCCGCGTGGCGTCCCGTCCCGCGAACCACTCACGTCCAGCAGGAACCTGGTGGTGGGACCGTCCTCGGCGCTCTCGGCGAACTCGCACCACGGCCGCTTCTCGCGCGTGCAGAAGGCGAACGGCATCGCTGGAGGCGGGCGGAGCAGCCGTGAGTGTGACGCCCTGCTGCCGGACGCCGTGACAGCAGGGCCACGGACGCCTCTGGGGGCGCGCGCCGCTCTTGCGAGCCGTGCAAGTCGTTGATAGAAAGGTTTTCGTGATCAAATGCTGGCACGTGAATACAAACGCGCCGCAGAAGCCATCGCACATCCATGCAACTCGTTGATAGGAAGGTTTTCGTGATCAAATGATAGCACGTGAATACAAACGCGTCATAGAAGCCATCGCGCAGAAATTATTCCATGTGATGTCAAGCCCATTATAAGTCAAGCAAGCAGAATCTTAGGGGCCTACTCGATCAGTCTGAGACGGCAGCGGCGCACACGTTCCGAGCACTTCAAGGCGAAAGAGCACGAGCATGCGGATCGTGAGGCGGGTATGTGAGCATGAAGTACGCGAGTACATGACGGAAACATACGTCAGTCAGTAATTCAATATCTCAAGTTACGGTATGCCATAACATCGAATCCAAGGCCGATTGATAAAAATCACGACATCTGTTTCAAAATACACAACAGTCAATAATATTGCAGCGGACCAAATCAAACTCGAAGTACACAAATTTCTACGTCGCGTGATCTCAAATACATGTTATGACAATCTACACTAATGGAACGCACCCCATTTGTTTACCTGCATTTCCCCAAGGCTCATTTGCTCACACGCCATAAAGAAGTTCGCCGATCAACCACTTTTCATTACAACCATGCTTCGATCCACACCTCTGATTCACAGATTCCTTCACGTTCCGAGCGGTCCAATGCTCGAGACGGTCCCCTGCCGCCCCGCAGCCGGCGCGGCCCGCCCCGACTCACTCCAGGCCTCCTGGAAGCAGACGACGTTGACGCCGCACTGCGCCGCCGCCTTCACCATCTGGGCGACGCGCGCCCAGAGCGCCTCACGCTGGGCCGTCACCGGCGCCGTGGTTGGCAGCACGATCTGGTTCTGGATCAGGCCCACACGCACCACCCTGCGGACGGGGGCGACGTCGGTCAAAGGGCCGGGGGCTGGAAGGCACGTCACACGCGCTACGAGGCACGCAGAGGCGATGCAGGTCAAATCAACCATTTTGCAGATCGAATGCAGCTCATGTATCAATCAGCGCCATATATGAGGGGTTCAATGCCACCACATCAAGTGTTCATGACTAACAAACCATCAACAAAATCCAAAGTTCAATAAAAGTGGAACAGGTTGAATCGTGATGTGAATAGCATGCACATTCGTGTAGAAGGGGGTAAAATCGCAACAGTGATCAACATTTCACCTGCCTCTGAGTGTAAAGCCCGTGCATGACCAACAAATAAACCAAATCAGATAAACCAATGGCACGTTATCTCACGCTTCAAAACCGAGCAACCACCTGTTGCCAGCCCGTGATCAGTCCAACTCAGTCCAACTACCATCCACTTTCAGCTCCAGAAGTTTCTTTCAGTCTTTCAATAGACTTTCTTCACATTCAGCACAGCACCGTCTTGTCACCATAACGCACCCGCCCGAACGCCGCACCAGCTAAACGGCGCCCCCACGCCGGTGACCACGACCGCAGCGAGCGGCTGCCGCGTGCCGCCGCGCGGGACGGGACCGCCAGGCCGATCTCTCACCTGGGCGGACGCGTCTCCTCGGCATCGGCGGTGAACTTGTACCCGGCCAGCTCAAACGAGGCACCAGCGGCGGCGTCCCGGGCCTCCTTCGGCAGGTCCAGCGCACTGGCGGACACACAGGGGGCCGGTGAAGAGACACAGCAACCATTGGAGCGACACGCCAGCCGCTGGAGCGACATGAACCGCCAGAGCGACACGTCAAGCGACACGGCAACCACTGGAGCGACACGTCAGCCGCTGGAGCGACACGTCAGCTACTGGAGCGACATGTCAACCGCTGGAGCGACACGGCAACCACTGGAGCGACATGTCAGCCACTGGAGCGACACGTCAGTCACTTAAGCGACACGCCAACCGCTGGAGCGACACGTCAACCGTTGCAGCGACACGTCAGCCACTGAAGCGACACGTCAGCTGCTGGAACGATAGCCCCTGGAGCGACGACCGCTGGAGCGACAAGTCAGCCGGTGGAGCGACAACCGCTGGAGCGACATGTCAGCCACTGGAGCGACATGCTAAACGCCGGAGCAACACGTCAACCTCTGGAGCGATGCGTCAGTCACTGAAGCGACACGCCAGCTGCTGGAGCGACACGTCAGCCGCTGGCGGCAATCGGATCGCATTTGATTGCCTCGCGGTGTCGCTGGCAGCTCGTGGCTGGTAAGCTGGCATAAGCCGGACGTTATTTGGGAGCTTCACAATATTGGGATCAGTGGACCGCTGACAGCGGCTTTTAGCGGCAAAAGACGAGCTGATCAGCTTACACCGATAACTTCGTCGTTTAGGATTTATGCACGCCACTGTTCTACGGGTGGGAAAATAGCATACGTTGCTGCTATTCGAGGAAAGTTTTGGGATGCATACCCCAGTCAAGGGAATACCTTCAGCTGCTCAAAGCATGCATGAGCTCGGCCCAAAGGGTGAGCATGCGCTCGGCGTAACAATAACGCTAGGGCGTGGAAAGAAACACTTCGGTAAGGCCATCCACCCGACCAGATCGCATGCTGCCATTTCCCACAAGATGGGGACGGGGTGAGACACCACACCACACCACAGGCCAGACACCACAGCGCGGTGCCTGGCGCCGCCTCTGCTCGGCCGTCCTCGCCGCGGGCTATGAGAGGCGAGGCAGGGCTGGCCGTCGCGCCAAATACAGTCCTTATCGGGAGGACTGCGTGTTTACTCCACGGACCGCACGCTCTCAAACCACAAGGAGACATTCCCAACACAAACAACACATTCAGATAACAATGAGAGCCCGATTTCATCCCGTCAACCTCGTTTGAGCACCCAAATGTCACTTGCATTGTACCCACTTTTTTACCCACAACAAAGCACCGAGCCGATTGGGGGGGGGGGGGGGGGAGAGGAACAGGGCCATCGTCCAGCAAAGGAGAAGATTCTTCGTAGGCCTGGAATAGGGAATTACGTATTTGTGCAGGACACATAGCATCGATACAAAACCAATCACAAAGTGACACTACATACCTTGTCTCCTTTCCAAACAGAATTCGCTTTACTTCAGAGAGCTCATTTCCTTCCAGTCTGCTCTCCAGGATAGATTCGACGCTTTTGATTTCTTCACCCATTTTGGCACACAACTGTAAAAAAGACGAGCATTGGACATATAGACCATGGACCTCATATCTCCAAACCAGCGGCGCCTGAAAACCACACAAATACATGTGGCAAAGCTGAAGATCTCAAACACCCGCCCTCATAACAAAATGACGGACTTAATTACTACCTCCTGACTGCCGAGATAGCAGAGCAGAATATATCACTTATCAGTAGATGAGCCACCAAGCTTGACCAAGAAACACGTCCACGCGCGCTTGGCGACGGACAGAAGGAGCCAGTCAGACGAAGGACACAGGTTTCATTTCCCAAATTTTTAACTTTTCCAAACCTTTTCACTGCCGGCTTCAATTGAACGGAACTAAATTTTGCAAAAATTTTGCACCCTGACGTTATTACCGACCGCCGCCGCGGCAAACCCGCGCCACCACACTCCAGCGCAGGCGCGAGGCCTTCAGTTCGCCCGCGCCGCGCCGCGCCGCGCCGATCACCGCGCTCCTCAGCCCGAGGGTGAAGGGCCGCCCGCACACCGTACCGTACGTGACTGGTCCATCCCGGAGTCCAGCCCCTCTTTGGCTCACGGGCCGAGCTCCGCCCACCGAGATTGTGTCACCGATGCGCGCCAATGGGGAGCGCCTGAAGTTCCAAACGTGGGCAGAATCAGCTGACCAAACCCAATGGAGACAAAAAGCGCGTAGGAGTGGCACGCTTGAATATTATAAGGATGAGTCGGAGACGTCACCGGAAACATTCACTGGGATCCCTCGCAGACGGCCACGCTATGGGTGAAATTTTCCGCCTTTTCTCGGGGTTGCCTCGGAGGTGTTTCCGCTCTTCGGGCTCTGCGATGCGTGATTGGCTATTGGATGGCGTGGAGCGGCGCCAATGCCTGCGTCGTTAGTGGACTGTCCATCTGTTCTGAAAAATGCGCACGAAAGCGGAAAGTGGCCAATGATGCTGCGCATCACTCAAGGTTTTGCCGTCTTATCTGAAACCGAATATGGTAGGCCTGAAAGAAGGGGAAGCCCATGCTGATAGGCAGTTTCTCACCGCAAGGAGCCAGTGGAGAGGAAAGATTACAGAACGCGAGCTGTGGAACGCGAGGCGCCTTGGAATCACTGCAGGTACGTTACGGTCGGTGCTTGTGCCTTCGTGTACATGGCTGAAGACACACGTGCCGATTTGTATCCCTTTGTGAGGGCCCTCTCCCCCCACCCCCACCAACACTGCATTGGGCCCCCACTGATGGCTTGGCGCCCCATAATTTTGAATGTAATACTGCAAAAACATAAGAAAGATGGCCAACACACAAAGACCATCCTCTTGGATCCTTCGGCGTACCGGCGTCGCCATGAAAGATGCACCCGGTAACTTGACCTGGCAATCTCACACTTACTGCCTCCTTAAATAAGGGGCAACTTTACATCTTGGGCATAAGCTACTTTATGTTTGAGCTTTTGGTCGTCAAACGTACGACCAGGCGCTTTCCCCCGTAACCTAAACATGACATTGACTCCACTGATTCGCCAGTCTCGTGGACTCGTTTATGCCAAGCGATATTTGGTCTTCTACCCATGGTGGGCTCCGAACCCAAATTTGTTTTACTTTAAGTTGAGGCCCGAATGACTTTGTTGTAAGGGGCCATGACAAAACCAAATTGAGTAGCATATTTTTGGCACGGCGTCATTGGTTCAAATTATAGGTCAAGTTCAGCTACTAAATGAAAACCAGTACGGAAAACGAGAAATTTGCTGAGACCGAATTTTAAACTGGTTCAGTGTTGAACATATTTGTTGCGCTCCGAGCCAACCATCTCATTGTTCAAACGCATGAGCAGCACGTGCATTTTGCCCCGGTCTCGTTAAAAACTATTTTCGTCAAAAGATCATGTATCACTTGACCTAGAAAGGAGTCAAACATAGTTCAGCTCAGATAAATGCATGCCTCCATGAATATGAACAGCGGTATTCTTCTGGGCATCCCTTACGTGCCTCGGAACAATATTGGCAGAAAGGTTTTGAGTTTCATCTAGTATTCTGTGACCGATGAGTTTTCAAATTTTAGCTGTGCTCTTTTACCATGGTAGGGAATTAAACAATTCAACAATGAATTCAACTTTCAGACTGCAAGGGAGAAATGCATTGCCATGTACAGAAGAGACTACCATTTCTTGTATTCACAGTGCATTTGTCTGTACCTAACTGAAGCAGCAAAAGAACAATAGCATAGCTTGTGTAATATGACCAGGTGGATTGACACTGAACCCAATAACTAGATCTGTTCATGCAGTCAGATGCTTACTGCAACATAAATACAAAACATTTGTTTGTCCACAGAGCAGTACACCTACCAACACCAGAATATCCCTCCTCTCATTAAACAGTTGTCTTCACTCCCACCACCCTACAAAAATCATAACCACTAAGCGGAAAAATGAAGCAATAAACTTAAAACACCTAGAGCCTAAGATGTGCACAGGTCTGAGTGGTTGAAATGAAAAGCTCTGGAGTATGGGAATGACCTAAGCCCACAACCAACCTCATCTCCATTGTGGCTGCCATAGAAGAGGGCTTCTGGCACCCTGAGACAGTCTTTAGAGAGTCTCCTTTCTTTCTGATCAAAAGGGATGTATACATACAGTGTTTTCCCCCCTAATCTGTCAATGCATGACTGCTATGCTGCTTAAAGGAAAAACTATTTTTATGATAAAATTCAAAATACAAACTGCCCATCATCAAAACAAAGTGGGCAGGAGTTGTCTGGAAGCCAACTGATGGGAGCAGGTAGTTGGGCCTTCAGCTCCAGCCCCCAGTCATTTGACGGGAGAAGGCAATTGGGCCCCCAGCTCCAGCCCCAGTTATTTACAAAAATTGACAATGTGGCTGAATATTTATCTGCATATTTTTTTAGGAGACATTGGGATTTTGGGCACTGGATGGCAATAGATACCTAAGCTGTGTGAGCCCACATATGCCAGGACAGGAAGCTCACAGAAGGGAGCAGAAATGTCTTAATTTGAGGCATATAAGTGCCACAATTTTAGAAACAAATATTTTGTCTGCTTCACCCACGAATGGACACACACACACAAACACTATTAGCCATCAAACCATATTAACACCTTCACTTAATCATAGATGGGTGAATGAATATTGGCATCATAGACGAAGACTGGGACAGATCATTAGGAACATTGGCAACATGACGAGGGTGCAGACCCGCACAACAATCTGGCAAAACAGGCAGACTGGGAAACATACATGGTAGACTAGCATAGCTCTGACACCCCAATGACAGATTCAGCCATGCACACTTTAAATCTATGCAGATGATTTCAAGACAGTCAGAAAGGTTTTGGAGAATACCCAATATTTCTAAAAAATTGAGTACTTCTAGGGGTCTTAAAAAGCACTCATTTCAAAGAAAACTGAATGGGAGCTTTAGAAGACTTCAGCCTGGCTTGCTTTCATGTCATGCAGTCTCCAAATTCAGCACACTGAAACCACAAACACAAAGTGCGGTGCAGTGGACAGTTACCGCAGACTGGGGAGGGGGCAGCTGAATTGTGAGCAGGAAAAATGTCTTAACCTGAACTCAAAATACGCTAGATGTGTTCTTCACCGCATTTGATACTCTTCATCACACCATACTGGCATGAAGCTTTCCTACATAAAAAGGATGCGTCATCCCTGCATGGTTCGGCGACATACCCACCAGTACTTGCCTTTTCATCAACACCAAGACCCTTGCAGTCACCCGCGCAAAACACGGAAGCAAATTGGCGATGTATGGCGCACTTCTTTACTTTTCGTATTATGCAGCTCCTCACGTGTTGAAACAGGTATTTACTTAGAACTACAGTAACACGCGTTTTTTGTTTAAAACAATATCATGATGATATAAAATTATATTTGCAAACTACAAAATTACCAAATATTCATTTCTTACCAAATACTATCGTACTATTTTGTTTTAGTTTTGCTTTATCACATGACCTGTAGCGTGTGGATCAGGTATTTATAGTAAACGGAAGTGACGCATTTTCCGACTCCGGTTCTTGCTCTACCGCGGAGTGGCGTGAGGAGGCGTCGGGTTTGTGTAACGGATTTAGGGCTGCCTGGTCCGCCGAAGAATATTCTTTCACGAAGATCACTGAATCAAAACTTCTCAGAAGATCCAAGAGGTGAGTAGCGATTTCGTATGATGCATACGCGCATCAACTGGGATTCAAGTGCTTGTGGGCTAGGAGCCCGCCATTTTTCTGTTGGTCGGTAAGAAATTTATCCACTGCGCCCGACGGCTCGTGGGCATGGTGCGCTGGACTTCACCCTCACATGTGCTGAACTCAGGCCAGGACCAAACCTTCGAAGTGCTGTTTTGTGATTTTTCAGTGCCGGCATGAAGTTACTTCTGCAGCATCGTATCTCCTTAACATCGGTTTATTGGTGGTTCCCATGCTCCAAACCGCACGCTTTGACTTACATAGTACACATGCTGAAAGCTGAAACTTTTGTTGCCAGTTGCAGCTTGGTTGCTATGCCATACATGTTTAGCATAACATTTCTTTTCAGTTTGGATGTTGGAAGGTTTCACACATGAAGATGTTGAAGTAAACAGCACCTCTAATGGAACAGGCTCACTCATTCAACTGTTGAGTTACTTTTTAGTTGTTAAATGAATTGCTCCCCTGCATGTCATAGTTTGATCATCATCATGCTTTTCACAACATTGATTGAGAGTCAATTGACTGCAATTATTTTTGGAAATTGCATTTGCAATCTCCAGGAATAAACACTACATTTCTTAGCTGTAGTCACTGCTTGGCTTGTGGAATGACAGGATTCAAATTGTTTTATTACAACATGATAAGTGCTAATGTGACTGAAATACTCATCCTGAAATACCTTACCCCACTTTTGTAGGCATGTAGCCCCAAAACTAGAGGGGCTTGGATCTTAAAATGGGCAGGACTGTGAACAGTACTTAAAGGTCTTCAAGATGGCCATTTCAGTTGTAAACCATATACAAATATGGAACGCTTCCTTTAAATGGGGTGCTAGTTCTCACCGCTAAGTCTTTTCACTGCAATGGATGCTGGGACCAACACTTCCATTGAGCCTGGCACATGTGGGTACCAAACTACAGCCAGTCCATAATGTGCTGAATTTTCAGTTTGGTCTTGCTTGACAAGTATTTTGCTGTGCTCCAAAATGAATGGTGGCTTTGCATCAGGCTATACACTCAAAAGTGGAAGGGGGCTGAGCTCTGAGCTTGGGCAGTGTACATCCCCAAAATTTGATGATTGTTGCATGTACTGGATTCCATACACTGCTGGAGTCATAGGTGGTAGGAAGTGCAAAAACTGCAGAAATTCCACTCATCCTGAATCAACACTTCACAACCAATAACTACCAAGGATATGAGAACGAGGTAGTGATCTGAGGATTGAGCAAATTTGAGACAGCTTGTGACATGATTGGTGAGACCTCTGGTTGATATGATTTGTTGAGATATGCTGTGATGCATGAGATACAGTCAATGATATTCCACCAAACGTATTTCCATTATTTGAACACCATGCAAGAGATCAATTCATTTCCTTTTAACCCGCTATGTTGTTTTCATGCAAGTGTGGAAATACAATGGTTTTCAGCATTAAAATTTACTTGCACAGAATGCATTTGCAGCTCCCCAATTTGGTAGCCAAGGTGGCTGATGTCTTTGTCTTGGCTTGGAATGCCAAAGGGCTGGTACAGGTTTTTGTTGGCTCTTGGTAACAATAAGCAACATGCTTGGTGCAGGAATTTTGTCATTACTATTTCAAGGAGAAAATATGAAATCTTGAGGGTGACATTGTGGAGACTGCATTGCAGTCACAATGTACACCATGGATGCAAAATTACTTTCTCATTTGGTGTGTCCAAAATGCTGATCACCTTCATAGATGGGGACACCACTTGAGATGTGGATGTACACAGTTCAATAGTGCTAGAATAAGGGCACTTGCCCTTTAACATAACTTTAGTGATACATTGTGAGTGATCCAATGCCTGATTTTGTCTCCACTGGCACTCCTAGATTAACACCTCTAAATCCCAGTATGAGCCTATTTTTGATTAGGTGAATATTGGGGACATGACATATAAAGGTAATGTTGCATTGTGTTGCCTGCACCCAATGCCTTACAGCTATAGCATCAGCTCTGCCAGCACAGGTGCTGAAGTAGAGCCTCATTGACATTTTCTCCATATTCTTGTCAGAGAGGTACCTTGGTGACGTGACCTTCATAGCCACAGGCCCATTATCTCCATTGGGTATGTCCGTTTCTGTGTGTTAGTGTGCTGGGTCTATGTGTGCCCTCAGTCAGTGTTTTACCTGCTGGTGACAAAAGTAGAGGGAGGACGCGATGGACCATCGACATGACACAGATGTGGACATATTCCACACAGACCCTGACGCGCGCCGTGTCGACCCCTCCCCCCCCCCCCCCCCATTGGCGAAAGTCCGCGCTCATCACGGAATGCACGTGTGTATTCGTAGACGTGCAGTTGCCTCGTCCTCCATCTTTATCCGCCGCTCCAGCTGGTGTTGGGCGGTAGTCGGCCGGCCGACGCCAGGTGGCGCCGCCACCGGCGCCCGAGCGGTGCCGGCGGGTGGAGCCGACAGGCGCCGACGCCGGCTCGGCCGTTGTCTGGAGCTCGGCTGGACGCGGCCGGCCTCGGCAGAGCGTGTCTCGACCGGATGATCCATCCTTGCAGATCGCCCGGCAGCCGGCCGCTCGCCTGCGATGAACGGCATGCACATGGAGGGACACCTGGGCAAGCGACATCGCAGCGACGACATGGGCAGCCACGCCGAGGGCGCACATGGCATGCAGGGACCGCCGCGCAAGCGCAAGGACTTCGAGCCGATGCCTCCCAACCACATCCTGCTATTCACCGTGCTGAACCCCGTGTACCCGATCACGGTGGAGATCCTACACACCATCTGCTCGACGCACGCGCGCGTCATCCGCATCGTCATCTTCCAGAAGAACGGCGTGCAGGCAATGATCGAGTTCGAGTCGGTGGAGGCGGCGTGCGCGGTGCGCGAGGCGCTGAACGGCGCCGACATCTACTCGGGCTGCTGCACGCTCAAGATCGAGTTCGCCAAGCCGACGCGGCTCAACGTGAATCGGAACGATTCGCGCAGCTGGGACTACACGCTGCCGGGGCCCGGCCAGGACATGGAGTCGCTGCCGGTCAAGAAGGCGCCGCTGCTGCCGGAGCCGCCGTCCTACCCGTCCATGGGCGGCGGCGGCGGCGGCGGCGTGGGCGGTGGCATGGGTGGCGGCATGGGTGGGGGCGGCGGCGGCGGGGGCGGCTACGCGCCCGAGCCGCGCCACGGTCCCGGCGACTGGCATGCGTAGCTCGCGCATGGCCGCTCCGATGTCGGACCGGTACTCGGGCGGCGGCGGCGGCGGCGGCAGCGCCGACCGCTACGGCATGGCGTCCGACCGCTACATGGGCGGCGGCGGCGGCGGCGACCGCTTCGGCGGCGGTGGCCAGGACTACGGCCGAGGCGACGGCTACGGCCACGGCCACGGCCAGGATTCGTACGGCCGTATGGGCGGGCGGCGCGGCGTCAGCGACGACCGCATGGGCGGTGGCGGCGGGCCCCAGCAGGGCTCCGTACTCATGGTCTACGACATGGATAAGAACCGCATGAACCCCGAGAGACTTTTCAACATCTTCTGTCAGTACGGCAACGTGGTGCGCGTCAAGTTCCTGAAGAGCAAAGAGGGCTGCGCCATGATCCAGCTGGAGGACGGTCTGGCCGTGGAGCGCGCGCTCAACAACCTCAACAGCCTCGAGTTCTTCGGCTGCCGCATGCAGCTGAGCTACAGCAAGCAACCGTACCTGAACGAAGTGCAGCAGCCGCACACCCTGCCCGACGGCACGTCCAGCTTCGCCGACTTCACGCGCAACCGCAACAACCGCTTCCTGGACCCGGCCAAGGCGAGCAAGAACCGCATCCAGGCGCCATCGCGCATCATCCACTTCTACAACATGCCGCCCGGCATGGCCACCGAGGAGATCAACGAGATCTTCACCAGCCACGAGGTGACGCCGCCGGAGAGCATCAAGATGTTCCCGGCGCGCTCCGAGCGCAGCTGCTCCGGCCTGATGGAGTTCGGCTCGACGGCCGAGGCCGTGGAGGCGCTGGCCGTATGTAACCACGTGCCGGTGCCGCACGCCAGCAGCAAGTTCCCGTACACGCTGAAGCTCTGCTTCTCGTCGACGCGCTCGGGCGGGCCTCGCGGCGGCGGTGGCGGAGGCGGAGGCGGCGGCGGCGGCGGTGGAGGCGGCGGCGGCGGCGGCGGTGGAGAGGAGGGCGGCGACCAGTACTACTAGACCAGGTCCGGTCTCCGCGCGCACGCGCCCCGCGCCACTCACGCCATTCGATTTCACCGTTCATACTGGGTGTTGCTGTTTAGAATAGCGGTAGGTTGTCTGTCCCGTAGACAGTCGGTGTTGTTTTCGTTCACGAGGTCCCCCCGGGGAGGGCAGGCACCGTTTCTAGGGGAGTTCCCTGACGAAACAGCAGAGCGATGAGCCTGCGCTCTTCCCAACATCGCATAATTGACTTCTTCCGCCCCAAACGTGACGGGTCTCCCGACAGTATTTCTTTCCGACTCCGTTTTACTTTTTGACAGCATCCGTTTGACTCCCGCCCCAAAAACATCTCAGGTGTAACGTGGCTTGCTGTCGTCTCCATCCCCGCAGAAAGACTGCCGCATCCGCCACCGGGTGCCCCGAACCCATGTCCGTTGGCGGCAAGGCTTGGCCGTTTGCTCTCCGGCTTATCGCGCGGTGTCCGTAGCGCAGACCTTATCAGGGCTGCGCCCTCGCATGTGGAGAGGGAGGGAGGGAGGGGTCACGCATGCGCCCTCGCATTTTTCAGCAGTGCCCTATGCGCTACACTCTGCGGGCGAACGCAGCGCCGCCGCCCGCGCCACACTTTCAGAGCCTTTTCTCGTGCTCGGGCCTGTACGTGCTTGTGTGACGCGCCAACTCGGGGCGCGCGCATCCGGCCGGCGCCGCGCCGCCGTGCCTGTACCATACCTGTGGCACACCTCTGTATGTAACGGTGAGGTTCAGTACACTCTCTTTGGACTCGGAGATGTTTGGCGGCGCCGGCCGCTCTCCGGTCGCGAGACCGCGGCGCGGCCGCGGGACGCGCAGGTGGCATCAAGCGGTGTCGTGCCGCGCCGCACCGGCGGCCGGCCCACCTCCATGCCAGCCGTCGCGCACATGATGCGACTTGACCCGTTCACGCACCGTGTCAGTGTCGGCGATCCTGTGGGTGCGGCTCTCGCAAGATCGCGATGTTTTAGCGATCGAAGACCCAGATCACCGAGCGTGGGCGCGGCTGCTGGTGGTGGGTGCGGCTGATACCGTGCCGGGACGCCGTGGCCGCTCCTATCCCAGTGGCGTCGCGTGTGGTTCCTGCCGCACGCTGCACGGCCGTGTGTCGGCCCTGGCGACTCAAGCGCCTGGAACCGGTGGCGGCGCCCATTCCCTACAGCGTCGGTTTGCTCCCGTAATCGTGCCCGCCTGGCGGTGCACGACAAATCCGAATCCAGACATCCCGCGGGACTTGGCCCAAGCGGCCCGCCACCGCCACGGGGCGTCTCCCCCGGCCGTGACGGTGAAGGCGCCGCGCCCGCCGCCGACCGCCCCAGATCGCGGGTCTCGAGGCCGGGGCGGGCGCGGGGAGGCCGGTGGACGGACGAGCGGCTGTGTTTACGGCAGGACAGGCAGCGGGACGGGCGGGCCGCGGCACCGGCGACGCGCGTCCCTCGCGCCACCCGGAGCACAGAGCGCTCTGTTTATGCAGCGGGAGGCGCCGCCGGAAGCGCAGGCCGTCAGATGGTGCCATGACTTGGTGTGACGCTGCGCCCGTTCAACCGGCTACTTTTTGGACATCACACATTAAAGCTTACGGCGTGTTGTGGCGCACTTTGAAGCCCTTCGGTCGTGGTAATTAAAGGCTGATCGTGCATAAATACTCGTCCCTTTTTATCCCCCCCCCCCCAACCCTAATAATCAATTCATTTAGTGTAACAACATGCGACCGAGTGTACGTCACACCACAAGCAGCTACCATCGCATTGCACAGACGTGTCATGTACAGCTGAAATCTCAGGCTGCATCCGGGACGGTCCACTCCAGCTCGTGCCGCTGTAACCATCAGCTACTCTTCCACAGCTCATGACTGCCACAGGGCAGCGACACGCCCTTGCAAAGTCACGCCGCTCACCACATGGTGTCTCGAGCGCGCCGACCTGGTGATGTCACGCCATGAAGCCGAGGTTTGCGAACCACAGTCGCGTGCTCGGTGACTGGCTGGCTATCATGCCAGCGGAGGTGACTCATGCAGTGGAAGGCGAACGCCCAGTCACGCACGGAGCACGTGCCGTGCCGGCATGACTATGACCAGTGACCACTGACCCAGGACTCGCTAACTCGCCGAGCGAAACAGTTGGCAGACTATGTGAGGGATACTTGATCTGATATGCGGCGCCACATTTCAGCGGAGTTCAGTTACACGCTTGCAGCTCGTGCGACTGATCCCTGCTCGGATGCTTAAGGCGTTCCTCTGAGTTTATGAGGCACAATTAACGCGGTGCGAATTATCATGTCATTCAACAGCTCTCACTTGCGCCTTGCTTATACGGTGACACACGGACAGTAAAGCTAGAGTTGGGCTCAAATAACCGACGCAGTTGACGCGCCCTTAAAACTCAACAAGCTAAAACTAGAGCCTGGTTCGAAGGACGGCACCGACTCTGGACTTCACGGTGGACGCATGTTGAGACGCCGCCACAGAAGCGCCGGCGCGGCGCCGCTTTGGAATCCGAGAACCTGAGCATTTATTTCACTAACAACTCGAGCATGGAGCCCGTGTCACCATCCCCCACAGCACAAGACTGCCACTGGGTGTCCAGTGAGCAGAACCAGGGCGACACGCATCTCACAGCACAAGACAAATGTCACCAGGACATCCTGTGAGCAGAACCAGGGTGACACGCATCTCACAGCACAAGACAGGTCACCAGGACGTCCTGTGAGCAGAGCCGGGGTGACACGCATCTCACAGCACAAGACAAATGTCACCAGGACATCCTGTGAGCAGAACCAGGGTGACACGCATCTCACAGCACAAGACAAATGTCACCAGGACATCCTGCGAGCAGAAGCCGGGGTGACACGCATCTCACAGCACAAGACAAATGTCACCAGGACATCCTGTGAGCAGAGCCGGGGTGACACGCATCTCACAGCACAAGACAGGTCACCAGGACGTCCTGTGAGCAGAACCAGAGAGACATCTCATAGTACAAGACCACCACGAATGATTCCGTGCTCAGGACCTGAGTGCACCGAGCCATTCGATGCGAGTGTCACCGGTGCCGTCGGTGTACAATGCGCAGAACCTGGCTGACACACGCTCTCACAGCACGCGACCGCCACGCATGCTCCAGTGCCCACAGCCACGCGGTGTCGCTCACGAGTGCTCGCGGTGCGCGTAGCGCGTCCGGTCGCGGCGACACTCGCCATGGCACAAGATCGCGCCACGAGCGCGCCAGTGTCCGAGCCGAACTGCGGGAACACGCAGCGTGGCTGCCACGTGGTGCGGGCGACACGCACTGACGGTGAGCTGACAGTGCGCTGACGCAGAAGCCAGCCGTCCGGCGGGAGGTCGGGCGCGACAGACGACAGGCCACGCCAACAGTGCAACAGCGACCATCCACGTACAGCACCAGCCAACGGTAACGCATACGTCTCGGGACAAGATCGTGTCACCCACTCATAACGCCATGGCACGTTGCCCGCGAGCGCACGCGACCGGTGCCGCCGGCGGCCGCACGTGCCACTCCCACGTACAGCACGCGGCGCTGGACGTGCCGGTAGCAAGATCACGTGTCGCCACGTACAGTACCGACAGCGCCCCGGCCACACGTGCATGGCATACAGCACGGCACACCAGGAGCACCACGAACAGCACCGACAGGACACCACTGGCCCGAACGCGCACGCCACCCCAGGTAGGAGGACACGCCGTGTCGTGTGCCCCTGTATCGCATTGCCACTAGCCCCGTGCGTAGCCTGTCGCCCGCGGGCGCGCCCGCACGCGCGCCGCCGGAGGCGCACCAGAATACACCGCCGGCCCCACGGCTGTTCGCTCTCCGCATGTTCCATCAGGTCACATTCACGTCCACAGTCAGTCTGTCACGTGGTTCAGTAACGCGCCCCGGCCGTACTCCGCCCGCCACTGTACTCGCATCTCCGCACTGAGCGTCGCGCCGGCGGCGAGGCCGCCTGCTCTGCCGGCTCGCGCTGCCTGTGCCCTGACGCCCGGCGCCGCTCCGCTGCGGCCCGCGCGTACCGTGCCGCCCTCGGGCGCTGACCGGCCGGGCCGCGTTGCAGCGATGGTGCAGCGACGACGCGCCGAGGGCTTCGCCCAGTTCGAGCAGCTGCACGCCGAGCTGAGCGGCGCCGGCTGCGACGTGTTCATGCTCTTCAGCGGCGCCGAGGACCCGGCCACCGGGCACAGCTGGTGTCCCGACTGCGTGGCAGGTCAGTCAGTCAGTCGCCGGCTCGGCTCGCCGGCCCTGGTCGCGGGTGTTGGGACGCTGAGTGGGAGGGGAGCTAGGGGGATGTCGGCGCACGGGCTTCGGCCCCGGGCCGTTATATGTTGACGACTGTTCGCGCGGTGCTGCGATTTTGACGATCGCCGCTGGAAGCATCTGAGAGGGAAGCTGAAGAAAATTCATGTGTGATGCAGCTGTCGGATGGCATGCTTCGGACCGCGACGCCGATCACGAACATGACGCGTTTGAATTTTGAAAACTGACACCGCCTTGTCTCTCACAATAATCGCGTCGAGACAAAACGCACGAGTCCGCTCTCCGGCTCGCCTGTTGTGCTCGCCGGCGCCGGACAGCTTCAGTAAGGACGTGCTCGCCGGAGTCGTGTGCTGTTGTGCGCGTGTGGCGGCCTGGCGGCCGTGCGCGCGCCGGCCCCGCGGCCCGTGCTGACCCGGCGTCCCGGCCCGCGCCGCAGCCGAGCCGGTGGTGGAGAAGGCGCTGGCGGCGGCGCCCGATGACGCCGTGTTCGTGCACGTCAGCGTTGGATCGCGCGACTTGTGAGTGAACGGCGGCCCGCGCGCGCTGTGTGGCGCGCTGCGGCTGCGCGCTGCAGCTTCCAGGAATGAGCGCGGAGCAGCGGAGTTTTGCGCCGCATTTTGGCTAGCGGACTGTGATCGGGTCGAGCCGCCGCACCTAGTTCATGTCATTATCAGATTTCGGTGCGATTGCCCTAACGTAGACCAATGTTACGGTTTAGCCGCGAATACGGTTGTATGATTGCAATGGTCTTGGACGATGGATTGTCTGAGTTATTCGCTCCGTTGTCTCACTAACATGATTTCATTCACTGTCTCACCCCTCATGTACTTTCTGGTGTAACGTGTGGATAAATCCAATTGATGCGCCCTATATCGTCTAACATGTCTCACTCCCACTCACTCACTCGCTCGACCCGAATCCACCTCGCGTCGTGCCCGTGTCATTGGCACCCCACCCCAAAACTGCCGTCACCCCTGCGCCACTGCGTACCCCACGCCGTCTTCGCCCCGCCGCTCGCCGCCTGACCGGCGCCCGTCGCCGCCGGCAGCTGGAAGGACCCGGCCTGCGTGTTCCGCACGGACCCGCGCACGCGGCTCAAGTCGGTGCCCACGCTGCTGAAGCTCGGCTCGCCGGAGCGGCTGCAGGAGAATCAGCTGCTCGACGCCTCGCTCGTCGAGATGCTCTTCTCCGACTAGCGGCCGCCGCGGCCGCTCCGGCGCCCGTGGGTCCAATTCGGCGTCCTCTGGGCGCGGCGGGCAGGCGGCGGAAGCTGAAGGCACTGCCGCGGCCGGTGCGCCGGCGGTTTGGTGGGGCCGGCGCCGCCCCGGTGGTACAGTGCCTGGTGCGGGCCGCCGCGCGCCCTTCCGGTGGGTGGGGGTAATTGCGGGAGAGCGCCGGGAGGCGTCCTGAACAGCGGCGCCAAGCGCCAGTGCTGTCTTACTATCCCAGTGATTGCGGTGCCCGGTCCTCGATCGGGCAACAGCGGAACAAAGACGGCAGTTGCGATGTTGTGTCAATTGTGTCGCGGATGTTTATCGTTGTCGTGCGCCATGTGATCGTTATGAATACAAGGGGAAATATCGTTTGCTGCGACTGCGGAACGTATCGGATTACGTGTATATTTATGAACCTTGCAAGCACACACCCAGTTTCAATCGTTCATCTCGCGCCCATCGCTGGCCCGGCCAGCCCGACTGTGGGCGCTCTCTCGCGTCGATGCCCCACTCCTCGCGGCAGCAGCCTCCCGCGGTCTGCCTCTTAACAAAACCTGGCTGGGCGCGGCCTGCAGGGCGCCGTGCGTTCCAGATGCCTCGTCCGCGGCTATCACAGCTTGGACGGCGGCCCGGTGTCCGCTCTAAGCCCCGCGGCGGCACTACGCACGGTGCGCGGCGCGCGGCGGCCGGCGCGTCGTGTTCCGGTCCGGACGGGCTCCCCTCTCGGCCCGGGCCGGCCGAGGCTCGGCGCCGTCAGTCACAACAGGCCACCATGCACCGCTCGGCGCTAGTGGCGCCGCGTGGTGGCAGGCGGGAGCAACTTCACCGCGGCGGCACGTCGCATCCCGCGCCCCTCGGAGTTGGCGCTAGGTCCGTGGAGGGGAAAGGCCTTGCATTGACCTAAGTAGAAAAAAGGGGAGGGCTTGTGCGCAGGCGCGCTCACACCCTGCCGGCGAGACCGAGAAGCGCGACTGCGAGCAGCGCCGCCAGGTGGCAGGGCAGGGCGACGGCAGCGGCCGAGTCGGGCGTGGTTGGCTCCGGCTCCGGTGTGGTGGGCGGCTCGGTGGGTGGCGGTTCCGTTCCGCGCCGCACCGTGGTAAGTGCCTGGTTGATGGTGCGCATCAGCTTGTACTTCTGGCCGCAATTTCCGCGGAAGTCATCCGTGTCGAGCGTCCAAACCATGGCACCGGCGAGTTCGTAACGCATCGCCAGCGCCACCTGATGGGGAACGGCGGGTCAGCGGGCGCCTGGGATCGTGGACGTGAACAGGTCATGGTGGGCTCTGCAGTCTCTAAAAGTATCCAACAAAGACCCTTCGTCTAGTTGTTCAGTTGGCTTTCTTGTGCGAGGCTGGTTACCGGTTGTTTTCTAAATGTTTGCTGACTCGGTTCTAAATACACTTGAACTGTAAAAAGTTCGATCAAGAGTAGGAGCGTCACCTTCACACGCTCCCCGCGGCGCGACGGGTCGTTAAGACGATTTACGGTCGGACTGGGCCGTTAACAACGTTAAGACGGCAAGAGGTGTCTCATAAGTTCCTAACGCGAGAGGCCCGCACTTCAAAGAATAAGACGTGCGAGCGGCAAGTCAATCCCGGCGGTCGTTCGGCCCGCTCGTACATAAGAACGCTCCGGGTACGACCGACCGCACAACAGCAGCATTCTCTCAGCCACGCACCCCGCAGCTCCCCCCCCCCCCCCGCAAGCGTCACGCCCCTCCACCCGCTTCGCGTACCTTGTTGGTGATGGACTGCTCGTCGTCCAGGCTGACCCACATGCTCTGGTGGAAGATGTAGGGCACCTTGGCCTCGTCGTCCCAGCGCGCGGTCCACTGGATCGGCGCCGCGTGCCGCATCTCGCACATCTCGTTGTAGCCGAGGAAGCCGTCCTCGCGCGTGTACGGGCCCTTGAAGGCCTTCTCGGCGGCCGGGTCGCCCACGTCATGCTCGTCCACGCTGACCAGCTTGAAGGTGCGTCCGTACAGAGGGACGCCCAGCACCAGCTTGGCGGGGTCGGCGCCCAACTCCAGGTAGTTGGTCAGCGTGGCGTTCTGCGGCGCAGGGAGGTGGGGGTAGGGCACGAGCGGTGTTCTGCGGCACGGAGAGATAGGGTAGGGCACGAGCAGTGTTCTGCGGCACGGAGAGGTAGGGTAGGGCACGAGCAGTGTTCTGCGGCACGGAGAGGTAGGGTAGGGTACGAGCGGTGTTCTGCGGCACAGGGAGGTGGGGGTAGGGCACGAGCGGTGTTCTGCGGCACGGAGAGGTAGGGTAGGGCACGAGCAGTGTTCTGCGGCACGGAGAGGTAGGGTAGGGCACGAGCGGTGTTCTGCGGCACGGGGAGATATAGCAGGGAATGAGCGGTGCTCTGCGGCATGGCACCTAAGGTGCGAGCACACGGGGCAGGTGTTCTGCGGCGCGTGGATCGAGCTTTGGGATGTTCGGAGGACATAACGCTACTGGAGGAGAGGACCAGGTGTAGCTTTTCTTAACGACAGAGAGGCTGTGGCGGTAACCGGCGGCAGACGCTGTCAGCATGACGAGCACAGGCGACAGGCCCGGTCTAGCAATATATTTGCCCTGATTACACAAAACCAACAACACAACACCGTTGTGTCTGTCAATACACAAATGAAGTGGTAGGAACTGTAGCGCTTGGTTGTAGGAGGAGGTTATTTTTGAAAGTGAAGTTATAATAAATAGGATGCACATGGAAAGAAAAATGAAAATGTATTCAATGAAAGCAAACGCAGAAACCAGTAGCTTAGCACAAGCTCAATCGTTGGGAATTGCACCCACGACTGCTGTACTTGGCATGTTCATCACACCAACTCAGTGGTCCAAAGCATTATCCATGTATGAAGGAATTGCTGGAAGGATCCGAGCGCACACAAGTCAGCTACGTGGAAAATACCATGCAAATCCGCTCGGTTCCCAAATTTCAAGGGATTATTTCAAGGGATGCTCTCATGTCGTGTTGAATGGCATGCACATATCTGGCGCTTTAGCTCCATGTTCTCTCGCGTCCCTGCTGCTCGAAGACACTCGCCAGTAGCTACGTCTTTTTGTTGAGTTGCATTACCAACTACCGATACGCTTCCTATTTTACCCACAGCGGTGATTTTAGCAAGTCCAAAAAATTGATGCTTTTTGACGAAGCCATTCCGCATAAAAAGCAATTCGAGCTTGTTCACCACAACGGAAACCATCGGTAACTTATTCGGCATGCAACTATAATACTCCTCTGAATTTCTCCTCCAATCCTCACAAGTCCTATTCAGGCAAACCGCCTCAAATCGGTGATCGCTCGGAACCCAGTCCACCATTGTCCCCGGCCTCACACCACGCGACTTACCACGCTGAGCCCCTCGCCGGTGAGCGGCGCGTTGTGGCCGGTGACCTGGTCCCACTTGCCGTGGTAGTCGTACGACATGATGTGCATGTAGTCGAGCAGGGCCGACAGGCGGGGCACGTCGTAGGACACGGCAATGATGTCCTGGGGCGCCGCCACCGCCGCCGTTAGCAGCCAGCCGCGGGGCTCGTAAGCTGCCCTCAGCTCCTGCCGGCGGGGGGGGGGGGGGCGTCAGCACGTCATCAGCCAGCCGCAGGGCTCGTATGCCGCCCCCAGCTCCTGCCGGCGGGGAGGGGGGAGGACGTCAGCACGTCATCAGCCAGCCGCGGGGCTCGTATGCTGCCCTCAGCTCCTGCCGGCGGGCGAGGGGGGGAGGACGTCAGCACGTCATCAGCCAGCCGCGGGGTTCGTATGCCGCCCTCAGCTCCTGCCAGCGGGGGGGGGGGGGGACGTCAGCACGTCATCAGCCAGCCGCGGGGTTCGTAAGCTGCCCTCAGCCCCTGCCGGCGAGGGGGGGGGACGTCAGCACGTCATCAGCCAGCCGCGGGGCTCGTATGCTGCCCTCAGCTCCTGCCAGCGGGGGGGGGGGACGTCAGTACGTCATCAGCGATCGCTCGCTCGCTTGCGTGGGTGTGACACCACAAGAGCCATTCTCGACCCACTCTGGTAAAAGGGCTGGGCTCGTACTCCTGTCGCGCAGAAGGCCGATACAGGCTGCAGCTCGGAGGCAAGGGGGGCTTTACGGGCGCGCCGTCCGAGCACGCCGAGAACGCCGCTCGCTGCACGCCAACTGCGCGGTAAGCCAGTCATGGATGACCTTTGCAGCCGGGTCTGCAAACTCAGAGCAGCCGCAGCAGGTGACCTATGTGAGCCAGCCGGGTCTACAGCCTAAGAGCAGCCGCAGCAGGTGACCTATGTGAGCCAGCCGGCCGGCTTCGGCCCCAACGTCAGGAGATGGGGACGGAGCGAGCGCGGGATCAGGCGCCTGACATGGCGGCGCGCAGCTGGCAGAGAGCTCCGGTCCTGTCTTAGCTCCTGTCCTGTCTTAGCTCCGGTCCTGTCTGAGCTCCGGTCCTGTCTTGCATTGCGATCCGTACACGCCATCCGGTCCGGCCTGCCTCCTCCAAACTGGATAACCCCAGCGCAGAGAGGACTATAAACCGGCTCGCTCAGGTAGTCGCATGTGGAGAGCGATCCGTGGGCAGCACTTTTCAAGTCGCCAACAGGGCATATTTGGCGTCAGATAGGTGCAAGCACCTACTCAGGGGTGAGTGTGTCCCAAGCATGCCCACACTCCTTGTCCAGACCGAACCTCAGCCCTACCGTTCATGCCGTCACGTCACTTCGCCCAGCCTCGACCTCACCTCGACCTCACCTCGACCCCGACCCTTCCGCGACCTCAGCCTCAGCTCTGACCTTGACGAGCTCGACGAAGTTCTGCTTGTCCTCGGGGACCCCGTCGCGCCTCGCTGGGTACTCCCAGTCCAAGTCCAGACCGTCGAAGCCGTGCGTGCTGGAAGGTGGCAGGGTCGTGTCAGTGCTGTCTCAATGCGGGGGGGGGGCAATGCTAGCTTGGAAGTAAAGCAGTAAATTAAAGTAAATTTGGTGTCGAACGTGCCAAACACAAGCGAAAAAGGCACAGGTTGAGCTCGCTTGTACGGTACAGTACAGTCGAGTGGGTAGTGCCGGTCAAATCGCAGCAATTGCTTCAGGTGAAGACGTATCCTCGGGTATTTCGGGGACCAGTACGAAGTATGATATATGTCCCCATTATTCCCGCGGGACGTCAAAGTGCTAGTGCCATAAATTTCTGACGATCTCAGATGTAGCTGACAGCCCTGACTGCATCCTCTCAGTATTGACACTGAGTCTTCCCTGGAGGGGGGGGGGGGGGGGAAAGAGGGGGGGGGAGAGGTAATGGGGCAGCTTTCCCCGCATCCCCTACTCCAGCGCTGCCATCACATCGCTGGCCCCTTTGGAAGCCGTGTGATGCGCCACTCAGCACTGCTTTTCTACGACCAGCGCATCGAGACCTATCACAACGTCGTCCATAGCGCCCTTGTGTTTACCTTTCCTCACTAATCACGCTCAGTCTAATGGAGCATGGATCTTTTCGGGCACAAAGGTGTGCCTAAACAACTGTCAAAAACTTCTCTTGCACACTGGCCTGCCGGTAGCGAAGGTCATCGCGCTCATACCAACGTGATTTTCGGTATGGGTTTAAATTTCTGTTTTGCCTCAACGCGTCCCAAACGGACATGGCCCCCTATGTAAAGCAAATCTACCCAGTTTTGGGCCGTATCTCCGTTCCGCCACATTTCGAGGTTTTCGGTAATTAGTATTCAGCAATTTACTTGATGTTATATTTTTGACGGTATATCTCTGCGCTTAGTGGTGTGCATTTGTCCCTCACACTCAAAGGCTAAAGTCTTGCCTTATACCGCTAAGTCCATCGCGATAAAAGCGAGCACTTAAGATTACTTTTTACTACGAGTGCATTTCACTCCACTTTAGCAATCGCTGACAAGTAACATAATAATTTACGGGCCAGTTTCCTAGTCATGAGGTATGTGCTGGTAACACCAAAATGAATACTGAATAAATTGGTGGGCCTTTTATACTGCTGCGTGCAAGCAGGCTGCCTAAAGTACAAACGATGGTCTGTTCTCAGCTTTCAGTTGGTCATCGCCGAACCTTCTTTTGCATGCCCGAAATTTTAAACCAGCCGTGATGTCTGCATCACCATCGACATATTTTTCACGATCTCATCCCCGTACGTTTTCGATGCAGCATAATTTGATATTGGTCCACTTTGCACTCCCGCCAACTGACGGATGGGGGACACCCACTCCTGCAACCTTTTCAATAGGTAAACCATTTCTAAACTCGTGGTCTACCTATGTAGTCCCTGCACTTATCTCATGAATCTGCGAGCGCATTTTGATCGAGCGGCGCTATTCACATTAACTGGAATGCTCCTACAAATTGATATCCCCAACTCATCGTGCTCCGGGTACATAGCGAATAGGTCTGGACGACTAACTGCTGGGCAGCTTCCTCCACGCACGTTTACGATGGATATCAACCCTATAGGTCTAAATGCGAGTCTTCTGACACGCGCTACGCTGGCACCTACGCTGGCTACGCCGCCCCCTCCCCATCAACTTAGGTTTCAGCCCACTGAGTTTGAGGAGGCCGCGGGCAAAAGCCGGGGAGAAACCCGTTTGGTGACATTTGGCGGTGAAGATTGTGTATTTTTTACTGTTCATCTCTCCCGCCCCTTCCCAAGTTATTCCGCGAAACCACACCCCTGGACAGACAGGCACGGAGCTATTTTCCATAATCCGCATATACTTTGGATCCTTCCTACCGTCTTGGGAGGATCTAAGGCTAGAGGCGTGTGTAAGGGGCAAGGCCCGGGGGTACATGCCCCCGAAACTCAATGTTTTACGTGCATTGATAGGCATGCATGTGAATAAAAGCCAACGGCAAAACAAAAAAGAGCAAACAAACAATAAAATGAAGGTAGACGTGTAAAAATAAGTACAGTGAAACCGTATGATATTGCTACGCGCCTTACCAAAAAAAAAAAAACTGCTGCGTGCATGTGGCGTGCTAAAATGGTTTCGGGATGGGACGAAAATTTTGAGACGCTCCCACCATTGCGAAACCCCGCCTGCGCCCCTGGCCACGTACCCACTGGCCTGCCGTGGCCCCGCCCTCGGCCGGTCACGAGGCAGCCGCAGGAGCCGGAGGTCCGGCGGCGGCGGCCGGCGCTGGACAACGGCAGTCCGCCCCCACACCGGCTCATCTCCAGCCGCCCGCAGGATTCGGAGGAGCCCCGGGCCTCGCCCGGATCACGTGCGAGGCCGCTGGTGACCCGCAAGGAGCGTGCTGCTCGGATCGAGCGGCTGGCGGTAGTATGCCAAGGCCGCATTGATGATGCCTCGAGGGTGAGATCGTCTGCTTTCCATTGCACCCCCCCCCCCCCCCCCAAGGCCTGCCAGGGCTAAGCGACTGAGATGCAGCCGCCGCGCGGGTGTTTGGATCGCGTCTTATTCCGTGTTGGTGCCTTGTTCTGGGCCTTGAGCAACACGCGGCCCGGCTGCGGTCCGGCGTGCTTGGGCAGAGGGCGCGGGCAGGGAGCTCCCAGCCCCCGTTAAGGGGGGGGGGGGGCAACAGGCAGGCCAGGTGCAGGTGGGCTCTTTGGCGCTCCTACCCCTATGCAGCCGGCTGCTGACCACTGGTAGAGGTCAGGCGTTTTCGTTGTAGGGCTTCACGGACTTCACTCTGGCAGCGGTAAAATAGCGAGCTTGCCAGACAACCGTCTGTCCTAACCAGAAAAAAACGGAAACACCTAGCGAAGTAGTTACATCAGCTACGGTTGAATTGCATTTTATCTCATAATTCGCTTGTTCAAGCGTCCGTTATCGACGAACAACGAAATAATTATTTGTCTCGCTCTAGGGCACACCACACTGGCATCAAGGTGTGACGGTCATTGCCAAAAGACCCACTGAATACTAACGTGATGAAGTCAATGGTGCTGTTGATAAAGGTGGCCCTCTTCGCTGGGTCCATAGCCATGTTGGAGTATTTCTTGGAGCCTTCGACCCAACCGCCGATGGCAATCGTCACCTTCAACCTCGGGTTCAGCCTCTTCAACTGGACGAACTTCTTGTAGTAGTCTGCGGTCACAGACACGCGTGAGCTGAAGTCCACACACTGAGCTGGCCATCTTTGAGCGCAGGAGTCAGTTAAACGCGGGAGCCCTCATCAATGAAAGCACGGATTCTTACAGATAGCTCGTGCGCTCGCAGCAATGGAGAAACTGAGCACCGTAATTATTGGCACGATCTATTTGAGGAAAGGAATGCACTTTATCGCACAGTTTATCAAACGCTCCGCACAAAATACTCAGACATGTTAACCAGTTTTGGCTTTTCAGTAAAACGACAAGATTCACGCTTTAATCAAGAACAGATCACAGCGGCAAGCCGTACTAATCTCCGAGAGGTTGAAAAAAAAACATTTAGCCTTGTCTGAAAACAAAAGTAAAGATAAAGCGACGTCTGGCAGCATGCAGCCTCACCCATGGCGCAAATAACCACTGAAACTGACGCGCCCTTTAAACACGATGACTAACTCACTACAGCCTCGGCCATCAGCTTCGGCCGGGCTCAGTTGAAGCTCGGCGAGCGCAACCTTCTCACCAGGAGGGACGCAGGCGGGACACAGCGGTGCTCAAACCCAGGTTGATGTCGGGAGGTACTAACCTCTTCCTCCAGCGGCGTCCAGGTCCAGTTTAGGAGGGGGGGGGGGAGGGGCGGGAGGGCACTGACCTTTCCCCCCGCCGGCGGCCAGGTCCAGGTTAGGGTCGAGCGAGCGGATCTTGTGGCTGGTCTCGTCCAGGCCGGCAAAGGCGTAGACGACGTGCGTGCAGAGCTGCGGGTCCACGTCATCCACCGTGAACTTGCCCTCCTCGGGCCTGTAGTAGGCCCACGAGCCCACGTAGCAGACCACCACCCGGTCGTGTGACGTCACATCTTGACCTGGAGCAGCCGGGGTCAGCTCGTGAGGGAGCGTCGGCAGCTCGTGCCCGCGGCTGGAGATGGCGCTTCGCCGTCTTGAGTGCAAGCAGCCATTACGGTTCGTGATCTGTATGGGTCAGCGCAATGGATGGATTGCCATGTAGGGTAACAGGAAAGTTGGTCCACTTTGCATGCACCGTTACCAAATCGTCCACAATATTTTTGCTGCGGCATCGATGTGCGGAAAGGAAGGGAAAACTTAACTTGTAGACACGCAAGCTCCCTATCTAGAGCTAAAGGGGGGCCTTCAGGAATAAAAACAGTGCTGTCATGCTTGAGCATTGGTGGAAGCGTATAAAACGCCTGGTCATGGTTTGGGTTTTCATGTCAGTTAGCCGTAAATTAATGAGACCCACCAAGGTCTTCCAGTTTTATTGTGATGCAGACAAAGATACCGTCAACAAACAATCATACAGGCCGACGAGTCGTCTCAGAATCAGCCTCGAATCCCGAGTAACACCTCTTCTGCTAAAGTACGGAATTCGCTTCGCCCAAGTTCCCCGTGCCGACTGAACCCCTTTGTGGACATTCACTTTGCATTTTGCAACCAGCACGATGCGTCAGCACCGCATCAAGGATTCTCCGAAAGATCGGAGCCAGCCTGAGCGGAACTGACTGCAGGGAATGCCCGCTAGCATTGTGACGTCACTGTCTGTAGCAGTGCCTCGGGTGTGCGGACGAGGCAGGGGCGGATCTAAGAGCGAGGGCAGAGGGGTCCCTGCCGCGCCCAGCGCGGTAGAAGACACCCGAAGCCGCACAATTTTTGCTCGATTTTAGTGTCGTTGGTATCAAATTTTGGATTTGGCCCCTGAACAGACTTCTCGCCCCCCCCCCCCTCCGATCCAATGCTGAGTCCGTCCCTGCGACAGTCTCTCGTACATCTTGGACGCGTGTCTGGGGTGTGTCATTAGCACCGGTCTAAATGAGGAACTAAAATTACTCTGATAACGACTGTGCCCGAGGGCTTCAAGGACATCAGGTAACATCAGGCGATCAAGGGAAGAGATGGAAGAGATGCATGCCTAATATGACTTCTACGATGTGGGTCATGACAGCTACTGAGGACCGGCGCGTCCCGAATACTTCACTTCGTCGACTAGGTCTGACTTTTAGCGCACGCAGGGGGCGGCCGCCCTCGAACGTCACGCTTCGTCACGCCATACGTCACACAGTGGTAACGAGCAGTGATGAGGCTACTCCTCCCGAAAAGCTAATGACGGGGACCACAACCGACGAGCGGTTTCAATGTCAGGAGTGCGGGCGGAGCAAGTGGGCAATGCAGCGTCCGGCAGACGGACGTCCCTCGGATGGTTGGTCGGTCGGGCCTCCAAACACCGCGCACCGCCACCGAGATGTCGGCAGAGCCAGCGTCGCCTAAAGTTCCGACTCTGCTGGACCTGGCTTCCACGCTGGAGCTGGAGCTGCTGGAGCCTTCCACAAGGCGTAGGTCACATTCACCCGAACGTTACACAGCTGGGGCGCGCCCTGAGGCGGCTACAATCTGAGCATGAGCGTGACTTGGCTTCCTCATGAGGAGCTAACACCAGCTCGTGCGCGGTGTGCTCTGCGCCGTCAGCTGTACAGTCACATCCTGTGTGCGCTTGCTCCTGCAGGCCTGAAAGTCGCGTTCAACCGAACCTCGCCGCAGACGTAGTCGCAGCATTGCGACCGCTCCGCCTCGAGCTGGCTCTCGTGGCAGCCAGCCTTGGACGACCGTAGTCGGCCTGCCGCTTTAACGTGGTCGCATTATTCCCTCCTCTGAAAAGCCTCTGTCCTCTTGTTATCATGACAACAGGGGCTTGCGGCAGACCTGTGCCTGATCCCAGGTGGACCACAACTCGATCCCAGAATCGACACAATAGCCGCTCAGTTGAGGTGGGTTCCATTCAATTGAAAATTTGCGAGTCAAAGTCTGTTCCGTCGTCTGCACCAGGTGAAACCGCCATCTATTCACCTACATGAAGTCAAAATATATCAGAGCGTTTACTCAAACTGGATGTGCCGCAAATAAAGCGCCAGGTGCAGTGCTTCCTAAGAAACCAAGCACAGATATTTCATGGACTGTTAATACCTCATGGAGCAAAAACACTTTTTTGTCGCAAACGCACTTCTCACCGCAACCGACTCGACCAGAATCGATGCCGGAATCAACTCCACCAGAATCGATACCGGAATCAGCTCTACCGGAATCGATACCGGAATCAACTCTACCGGAATCGATACCGGAATCAACTCCACCAGAATCGAAGCCGGAATTAATCCACCGGAATCGATACTGGAGTCAACTCCACCGGAATCGATACTGGAATCCAGCGGTATATCTTTTGGGGTGGAATTCGCCATCTCGGCTCAATCGATTGAAGCGCGTACCTCCGAACCCACCCGCGACGAGGTGGCTGGGTTCGAGTGGCTGCGCGAGTTCGTTCTTTACCCCGACTAAGGTGACCTGGTACCGGTGGCACGGGCCATTCAAGGTCAGATGAGTTCAGAGGTCGGGACGGAACATGCCGAGCATTGCGGCACGTCAAACATTCGTCGTAAAGTTTCGTCGTTGGGTTGAAACTTCACGATCGGATGCTAGGAATCACACAACCAGCGCTTCTTATCGTGAGCTCTGGTACGAAACATCTATGAAATATAAAAGCTCGAGCTAAATTTTGTAAGATAGAATGGGGGGGGATATATACTAAAAATTGTGCTGTGTTCTGCTTCCAATATGGAGGCACCTTGGACATTGCGATTCGGAGACAGAATCAATCCTGCGAAATCAGATTAGGAACAGACAACTGAGTAGGGAGCTGTGTTCTTGCATACTGCTCTGACCTTTGATGCGGACAGAGAATGGCTCAAGCAAGCCTCACAAATTGTTGTGCCTAGTCAGGTAGATTACACTTCAACTGATCACTCTTTTCGTTGAATTTAGACATACGCATTGGTAAATACCAGACCCATGTACCTTCGGACCCACGCACCAGCACGTAATCACGCACCTTCAGACCAACGCACCAGTATATACCGGACTCACGCAGCTTCAGACCCACGCATCAGTAAATACCAGACCCACGCACCTTCAGACCAACGCATCAGTAAATACCAAACCAATGCACCCTCAGACCTATGCATCAGTCAATACCAGACCCACGCACCTTCAGACCCACGCATCAGTAAATACCAGACACACGCACTTTCAGACCAACGCATCAGTGAATACCAGATCAAGGCACCTTCAGACCTACTCATCAGTCAATACCAGACCCACGCACCTTCAGACCCACGCATTAGTCAATACCAGACCCACGCACCTTCAGACCTATGCATCAGTCAATACCAGACCCACGCACTTTCAGACCCACGCATCGGTCAATACCAGACCCACGCACCTTCAGACCTACGCATCAGCCAATACCGGACCCACGTATCTTCGAACCTACGCATCAGTAAATACCAGACCCACGCACCTTCAGACCAACACATCAATAAACACCAGAGCAATGCACATTCAGACCTACGCATCAGTAAATACCAGACCAATGGACCTTCAGACCTACGCATCAGTCGATACCAGACCAATACACCTTCAGACCTACGCATCAGTCATAGCGCCAAACCAGAGCGCAACATCATGGAGTTCCCACGTCGCATGCGCGAGCCGACAAAGCTGTCTAACGCTCCACAGCCTTATTAGGAGAACCCGTTGTTGGCGTCAGCTGGTCGGTCCACCACTTTTCACTAATCAGCGGGGCTGGGCCCGCTCACGGGCGGGCTTGACAGCCACCGGGCCTTCACTACCCATAAGCCGGTGGAGCGTGACCACGAACACGACACCTGGCGCTCGTGCGATGGTCTCCTGCTGCTGGCTCGCGCTGGTGTCCATACACCTGTTCTGCGGACGTCTCAGGGTCTGTGTGCGCGAGTGAGGTGCGTCGCAGGGCCGGCCACATTGGCGATGAGTTCGTTTCAGAGCCCCCCGTGTCCACGCCAGGTGCGGAGGATCAGAACCTTCGTGTCTCGTCATGTAAGCCTCAGAGCCGCTGTGCTTCTCAAAGCCTCCGTGCTGCCCAGAGCCGCCGTGCTTCCCGGAGCTTTCGTGTTTCTCGGATCCTCCGTGCGCGGCCAAGCAGGCATCAGAGCCCGCCGGGTCCGTCTCGCATGCGTCTCGAAACCAGCACGCCCACGACAGGCGTTCTCAGAGCCGCTTCGGCCGGCACTGACGGCCGGCTCGAGAGTCAGCGGCCGGTGACGTCATCACAGTCGCGGAAGTCGCCCCGCCCGGCGCTGGCCGAGGCCGGCGAGGGCGCCGCCTCTCTTCCGTCCCGGACGGTCCGGGCCTGTCGGCCGCTGCACATGGAAAGTAGCGGCGCGACCTTGAGCCGTCGCCGCCCTGGCCGTCACCGGTCCAGCCGGACCACAGCGGCGGCGCTGCGCCGGCGGCACGCGGCCGCACGCGGACGCTACCGCAGCCAGCGGCGGCGGCGGCGGCGGCGGTGGCGGTCCCTGGCGCGAGGCGGCACGGCCGCCGGCCTCGGCCGCGCCGTAAAAATGCGCACGAGGCGTCCGAGCCGCTGGAAAGCCGGCGCGGCCGCGACTCGTTTTTGCCCGATTCGCGCCCTTGGGTCTGACTCCCACCCGAAACGGCCAGCCAGCCCGGTGGCGCCTGCGAAATCGGTGTGGCCGTGCCAGGCTGGCGGCGCCGACTCAGCCCAAGTGATCCGAGCGTCAGTCAGTCCACCTGCAGGTTCCGCGGGCGGGCAGAGCTGCGCGCTCAGCGCGAGACGCACCGCGCTCCTACCGGCTCAGCCAGCTGGGGACCGGAGCTCACTCCGCCTGCCCTCACCAGCCTCCGGCGTCTCTGGGAGGAGCCCGGCTCGTCGCCACAGCGGCGTGACGACCGACGCCGGCGGGGTGTCGCGTGCCAGGCGCCCACCCGGAGAAAGCTGCACGGCGCGGCGTGGGGGAAACCCGCGTGGAGCCTCCGGACCGGAGCGACGCGACCGTTTGTCTCTGCCTCTGAACGCAGGGCTGATGCGGCCTCGGGAGGCACGGAGCGGCTGTGAGAAGCGTCGGCGAGGAGGGACACCAGCGACCGGCGGGTCTGGAAAGCGGCGACGCGCTCGCCCGGGCACGCCCGTCTCTTCGCTTCACGGGGATCAGAAACGGTCGTTTCGGCCTTGCAAACCGAGGTCATTCCGGTAGAGCCCGCTACGTCACAGGCGACGTCCCCCGGCCGCACTTTCGCTGCTCTGCGGGCGCGCATGTGGGCCCACGACGGCCGAAAAGCCGACCGACCAGTCCGACCAACCCAAGGCTGCTGACCAGCTCTCCGAACGGCGGCGACCGGTCGGGACGGCGGTCTGCCCGGTGGGCCGTGACCTGCGCGCGGCCGTTCGCGTGCGGTCGAGCCCCACGCGCCCCGAAAGACAAAGGCGCGTGAATCAGCGCCCCCCTTCGTGCCGCCTGGACGCACGCTGACAGGCTTGCGCAACGTGGCCGGGCCGGTGTCCGACGTGGGCGCTCTCCGACGCCATGCTCGGCCGCCGCGGTGAGCTCGCCCCGGGGAGAGCCGCGGCCTGTCCGCTGAGCGCCGCCCCTCTGTACGGAGGCGGACGTGTCCTGTCAGACACTGCCTGTCGGCGGGAATTGTCTGTCGTCGGACACTGTCTGTCGAACACTGTCTGAGATCGGACACTGTCTGCCGTCGGACACTGTCGTCAGATACTGTCCGTTTGTCGGCGGACAGGCGTGTCCAGCCCCGGGGGTGTAAAAACGTCATACAAGTAGTCGTGTCGACCCCTGTTTCAAGTCGGTTCCACCTTAGCGTTCTTGCTACAGCTCCACGTACACTGGGAGGAAGACCATCCCCCGCTCACGCCACAGCCGGACATCGAAGCCGTCTCGCCCATTCTCAGGTGGCCGTGTGCAGTCGGCCAGGCGGACCCAGCTGCGTGCCGCAGCCGCGGAGTCGGCGACGATGTCCACTCACCTGCCGCAGGCCCGGCTGCCAGCGTCGCCAGCAGCGCGACCACAGCTCCGGCGCCGACCATCACTCTATCGTCAGCCCGACGCGCGCGCGGCGGCGGTCTCGGCGCTGCGCGGGCCAAGGCACTGACGGCGGCGCGCGCCGGTCGCCGCCGGCCGCTCGGCCGCGCCGTACCCAGCACCGCAGCGGCGGCGCCACGCGCGCAGGGGCGGCGCCAGGCGCACGACCAGGGAGGCGGGGAGGCGGCGGGGTGGCGGCCGCGGCTGGACGGCGGCGAGGTGCGGCGAGCGCGTGCTTGGTGGGCGGGATCGTCGTGGTGGCGGTGTGACGGCTCATGTCAGCCATCACATGGAAGACTTCTGCGCTCTACTCGGCTGACAGGGATAAGGGCGGCGGCGCCGATGCTTCCGCAGCGGATTGGGGTCGCACTTGCCGAACATCGATGCACGTATCGACCGCCAACGCCCCCGAGTCAGCGATGCAACAGAGCGCCGGCATGACACCAAACTCGTCGCGGTGCATGTCGTTGGTCTCGACCTGCGGCAGGCTGCACGCACCGCGCCGCGACACTGTGAGCAGGTGGGGGAGCAGAGCTGTCGGCGTTGCACGATTGGTCGGTCAGAGGACTCAGCTCAGTAACCAGCTGGGGACCGCTGCCTACACAGTGCGGCTCAGATTCGGAGAAGGCGGCGGTCGCCAGCGGCCCGGCTTCCTTTAGTCTCCCAAACCCGGGAGTTCATCCTCCTCCGCGTTGCACCAGTCATTCGGTTCACAAGTGACAAGGCACACCCGCAGAGTTTTCAGTCTCGGCGTTTTCGAGACCGAACTGGCTACACGACGCTCACTCAGGCTCCAACAAATTCTTAAAGGGCTTAAATCCTGTGTCTACAACTAGGAGAACCGACAGTGGGTGCACCTTTGCTTATCATTAGTGATGCAGCTGAACCGTGATATTTCGGAGATTTCTTAGAGGTCTGCGGCGTTGCAAGATGTGAATGAACAAATCAATTCCATTTGGATTCCCGATGTTCTTTTTTGTCATGTTTTCGTTCCTGAACTTGGGGGTCACCATCCCGTCCCAGCACTTGCAACGGTACAGCTGCATACCTATGCATGCTGAAATGCTTCGTAGTCTAACGGATTTTCCATGTGACAAGTGCTTTCTTGCAGTGGTGAATCGCGAACTACTCGGGGTGGTCAACAAAACGCGCAATTGCAGACAATAATCGTAAACACCTAGCATGCACACAATTTCTCTTTAACCACGCACAAACGAATATCCGTGTTCATTCAATGTGCTTCTTTCCTGCCTACCAAACTCCACCACCTCACTTCCTTTCTGCGCATCTTTCTAGCCCTCTGATGGGCTGTGGTCGTGCAGTCTCTCCTCCCGTTTGATTGCCTCCCGCCCTCAGGCTCCAACTCGAGCGATGTTTCACAGATTACCAAGTTTATTTCATTTTATTTTCGTTTTGGAATTACGGCGTGAAGTGGGTGCTGCTGAAAATAATGAAAAGTGAATTATTTCATGCTTTTATTCACTTCAAGTCACGCGTGCATTAAGAAGGCTCACTGGTTACTTTCCTGCGCGGCACATGGGGAACAGCAGCTTTAGTGTTAGCTTCATGGTCTTTTTTGCAGTCCCCTGGCGCGGAAACGAGTTAGCCGGCCTGCTGTGTTTCTCAGGCAGTCCGGTGAACTATGAATGGTGGATCCCGCAGGATTGTTGGCGGAACTTAGTAGAATTCTGAATTAGAACGCGCGCCTAAACGTGTCCGAATTTTAAAGCCATGGGTCGTTTTTATCCGTGCATTAACACGCGCTGGGGTGGGGTAAGGTCAATTTGATCCCCCCACCCCGAAGGTTTTCCAGAATGATTTCCGAACGGCGCAGAATAGCCGCGCGAAAGTTTGGAAAGCTGTAGGAAATTTAACAGCACATCTTTTGGTATAAAACTATATGTACCTTGTAAGGTGGCTGACCTATGGCAGGTTAAAGTCAGGCCCTCGCTGTTAGCAAAGGTCAGTTCCAGGGATTCGTTCAATCTGATGTGACAACGGAGTGTGAGACGAAGCCATGCATCTGTAAAGTAGTTTCTTAGGAAACATACCGACTGAATTTAGAAGAAAACAGCGAATTCCATTGACCTAAGGTCAGGCATGAAGGCCAGACTGAAGTCAAAACCAACCTCGAGAGCTTGCTTCATGGGGTAGTTTTTGGTGCTCATTTCAAATTCATTGATCACAGGGACTGCAATGTACTTGTTCTATTGACTTTAAACGGTCAGATTAGGTCACTGACCTGAAGTGATCCAGGCCAACATTTAGGGACATACCGCGAGCGTATTCCCTGACGCTTTATTCAATGGAAAAACAACAATATCATAGCTTTTTGGTCACCTTGACCTTTAACGGGGCAAAAAAGGTCACTGACCTTTCATGAACACTGTTGACCCTTTTCTTGGAACATATCTCTAGGTTTGCGGTGGTTGCGTAAGGTCTCGGGGCACTTTGGACACCAATCTGTAGTTTGACCTGGTTTAACCTTATTTGACCCCAAGGTCATGATCTAGTAGCGCCAAATTTGAACACAAGTAAGTTCACATGCATATTAAACCACCTTGTGAGTTTGGTGTCGCTAGCTGTCTTATTTTTTGATATCTCAGGGGTTAAATTGACCCCCGAGTGAAGGGTTGGCACCCGGGTGCGTGTCAACTTTCTACACGTTATCGGGCGCTGTGTAAAAGTATCCGCCCGTTATCCCAGTCAGTGCTCTCAGTGATTTCCTCAATTTTCATGATGGCTGTCTGATACGTGACCAGGGCGTTGGGTCGCAAATTCCAGACCATGAAATGGTCTTATAGCAATTATATTCAAGGATCTCGCGGTGTCGCACGAGCGCTCACGTGCACACGCACCCTTACCACGGGTGCATGGCTCCGCCTCCGGCATCGGTCGAAGTCAGCCGGCGTTTCGGTGCCGGTGAGCTACGACACCACAGCTCCCCCGCTGAATAGGAACAGGAATGATCCCAACCAAACGATGCTATTGCAAATCGTTTGAATTGTGCCACTGCGAGCGCATCGGATAAGTGGAACAGAAAACTGCGACGAACGCGCGATGTAGCCCGAATCCGGCACATATCTCACTCCCAGGATTTCAGCATATTTAGCTAGATGAGTAAGGCTACAATAAATCACAGATGTGATTTAACTCTCGCTCACCTTCACAACTATCCCAAGCGCTGGACCAGTTCCAGTCAGTTACGCCCTGGTGTCACAGAGCAAAAAGCCGGGCCACAGCACCCGTGCGGCGTGCAACTTTCATTCCGGTTATTTAAGACAGTCCCTTCCAGATGGCGAAAGGTCAAAACAAGAGTTCAGTCTCATTGACCCGGTTTTGGGTCAACGGGGTGCTCGGGGCGCTCCGTCCGTCACTCCAGAGGGGTGGGGCTCCTGCTGGGTGCCCGACATCCTCCAGTCGGTCTCCCGGGGGGTGGCGCTGACGCAGGCTCGGCGTGCACTTTTGTTATACTGTTTGTTTGTTGTCACATTGTTGCGAGTTATGCCACATTGTGCATACAAGGTAGGCGTATGTGCAATGAATGTAAATCGCGTTTACACCTTTGCGTCCGTTTTTCACACATTTCCGGCATAAAGTTGGTAAAGTCCCAACATGCAACAATTTCCTTCCACAGAGTGAAGTGGGGCCACCCGAGGACATCTTACCTTACCTTACCCTACCATCGTCATCTTACCTAACTTGACGTTACGATCATGCCTGACCTTTTACCTCCAAGCTACGTGTACGACGTTATGACACTGTTACCCTGCAGAATGACTGATGTTGCTTAAAGTTTTTTTTTTCAAAACTGGGCCTGACGTGACGTGGAATGACCCTGCCTAGGTATTGAAACATCTCAGTTATTTTGCCCGTGATGCATCGGCCTTATACTGATTCGACGCCAACTCAAGGATTTAACCCCATGCGATATTTGCAGCCTGAAAACAACGAAGGAACACGCGAGGTCAATGCCGGTAATTTGATTTGACGTAGTCGACGACCCGTTGGACTATTTCAGTTGCTCAGTCGGATTTTTGACTGTCATTTGTTTGAGCACGCCAGCTACATAAAACCGTCCGTCTGTATCACAACAAGCACAAACAATACGGGGAGTTCCAGGCGCAGCTTAAAAAGTGTGAACGGCGGTGGATTGTTTATGAATGACATCAGTACTCGTGCCACACTCGCCCTAGGCGTCGTTCCGCTCACAATGCATTAAATTGACCACTTGGCAGCCATTTCGAGATTGGCTACGATCACATGTTCCACTCAATCGCCGCAGACACAATCAGAGGGTGGGGCCGACCTCCGGCCCACCCCATGCGGGCGCCACTGTATTTCGCCACACACTATCGTGCGCCACTTCTGCGATTTTGCTGACCAAAAGCAGGCAATAAGCCTCACGAGCGTGGAAGCCGAATGTCTCCCGAGGCCGCCGCCGCCTCCCGGGAGCGTTGCGCAGTAGCTTACCGCGGCTTCCGAGCGTCCAAAAATGGCAACCTGTCTCTGATTTGGAGCGCGTGGATGGGAGATCTGTACGAATAATTGCTGGAAGTATCGTATGGTTTACGGGGCGAGGGCCGGTATGAATCCAATGCTAACCGGACACCTGCCGCGCGTCAACTCCAGCTCCTGCCCTGCTGCGCGACGGCGCGCAGACACACTGGATCTATCCACCTGGATTCCCGGGTCATGTGCGAGGGCGGCGGACCGGCTGGGCTGCCCCACGCACCTCCGCCACTGCTCAGTCACGGTCCCCACGTGTTCTGTGCGCACCGCTCACCAGGAACGTCAGCTGGCGCGTTCACAGCCGCGCGAGCGCACGTCCGCGCCCCGACCGAGCGGGCCTTGAGAGCCCGAGCAGAGCAGGAGCGGGTATTCCCGGAACTCCCAGTCACCCTGCAGGAGCAGGTATTCCCGGGGCTCCCAGTCACCCTGCACCAAGTGCTGACAACCTTCAACTGCCATTCGTCATTCACAACCAAGGCACCAACCGAATGCCATTGAGAGCAGGCGACCAACGTCATGTCGGCCGTCGACGCTGCGATAGAACCGCCGGTTCACATACGACCGCTGAACGTGCCAGCCGTTTATTACACACAAACGCTACGGCTTCACTTGCGTCAATACGTAACATCATGTTTCCAGACAAGGCTGAACCACAGGCGGCGCACGACATACGCATTTGATTTACGCAACAATTCTGTCTCATCGCATTGCTTGCGAAAAAGCAATAATCTAGGCAACGATTGCAGAGAGATCCAACCGAAAAACAGCTAACCCGTATATTGTAAGCTGTCAAGCATGAAGCTGCAAACATAACTTGAACGTTTCCACGGAACAAAATATGGCAGAGCAAAGACGGCACTTACAGCATGGGCTCATATGACTCTTACACCATATGACCCTATAGTTCCAAAGGCACATGACGCCTACTGAATAATTATTTCACACAAAAGCGAGCTTGCTCTTGCCTAACTAAAACACCCATAAATGCACAGCAGCAAGGAGTAAAACACGAGCTTACATTAGGCTAAGTGCAATGCTAGCTTACACGTCCACCGATGTCGTTTAGTCCACTGACAACGTGTCGTTATTCGGACCAAGACTGCGCAAGGATTCCGGCCGCTTGGATTTTGTCAGCTTTCAAACTCTACTAAGCTAATTGATGAATACGAATGTTGATAGCAGTAGCTTGAACGGCTGCATCATCATAAAACGTAAGGTTTGGGAGAAATATAATTTCAACGCGTCATCCCTATGCACAAATGCTTTGCCTGCGCATACTGATGTAAGATCAGAACTAAGTCCCAGAGTCAGGTGAACAAAATCGGAGCAACAACCAACCATGGCGAAGAACATGAAACCTGGAAGTCAAGAAGCGGTCCCGTCATCACTGGACTGAAAAAAGGCTTTGGAATCCCCTAGGCACACAGAAATCCGCCATGTTCATGAAAAGTTCGCATCCACCACACAAACGACCCACTCAACTATACAAAACTCATTTCTTTCCGGCCATAACTCAGAGCGCCCTTGCACCGCCCCATGCTGCGTCCTCGGACGAATCCGACGGTCCCACGAGCGGGGCGATCGCGCAGCGGGGGCGGCCGCTCAGACCGCCCTGACGCCTACCCGCCAGGTCTCGCCCAGCGGTGCGTCGGAGCCAACAGCCCGCACGAGGGGGGCGGTGCGGTTCCCAAGGCGGCCGCCCCAGAGCATTGCCACCCGAGCGGTAAAGCCCGCGGAAGACACGCGATATGGTGGCGCAAGGCGGGACACGGTAACATGACGGCAAGGTTGGTCGGTAGGATTCCGGAGTCGCGTCTCGACGCGGTGCGAGACGCCTTCAGGAATGCGGTGATGTGTAAGGTATCGGAACACAACGATCCAATCGCAGGGAGACAAACACGAAATTTGGGACGCAAAACACCAGGAGGATCCCACCACCTTCGCGCCGTAAAAAGAACACGCCTCTGTTGGCTTCGCGACAGATTTGAGCCGCCAGCCGAGTGGCTAAAATACTGCTAGATTGCTCTCAGCGCCTCAGTACGACCAGACAGTCAACAGACAAGACCAGCAGCCCGCAGACATCTCATTCTAAGTCACATCGGTTTAAGGTCAACAGGAGGCATGGAGCTATTCGTTCACGTCGGAGGTCACCCACCGCAGCGCCTGTGGTACAGGCATGCGCCGGAGCACCCGCGGCCGACACTCTTCGCAACATTTCTATCGCAGCTAGTGCACAAAGATCCTAAATGCCCGGCCTGATGTGAGCGCCGAAATGCCCGACAAAGCGAAAAGCAGACCCACGCCGTTGACAATGGCGTCATAGTACCTGATCAGATCGCTGATGGGACACTGACGCGACGGCTGCTGCCCCGTCTGTTGGCCAAACTCTACCCGGGACTCCAGCGCCCCTAACCGTCACAACACGCCAAAAAATGTTCAAACTCACATCAAACATCTAGTAAGAAAATAGTGCGCGAGGACTCGCAGGCGTCTGCTACAGCCGAGCCGCTGCTCACCAGCGGAGATTCCACTAGGAAAGACAGGGCGCCGCTTTCGCCGCAGCCACGAATGCCGCGTATTGTTTTAACTTCACTACGCCCCCGCTTGACGGAGCGGCCAACCCAGCGACGCGCGTTTAAGGACCGTCGGGTCTCCATGATCCGAACGGCCACCATTAGCCACCTACGGAGATCATGTCATGAGCTCAAATGCCTGGCCGGGCTCCGACCAGGCGGCGCGAACAGGCCGCGGACCTCCGCGTTCACCAGGGTCAGAAAGACGGTTCTGGGGTCTCCCCGCGAAACGGGAACGGCCACAGCCGAACCGGTCGCGTCGCACAGGGTAAGTAAACGAGCTTCCGCACCTGAGCTCGGTTGCCAACAGTGGCACGGTGCCGCTCCCTGCGGGCGTCATCTGGGCCGCGCGTCGGCCGAGCGCTGTATGGCGCGGGGATGGCACTTCTCGGCGCATCTTGCCATCCTTCAAATACGCTGTTGCCGGCCCGTCGCGTCGATGAGTTACGCGCCCGGCTGAGTCACGTTTGTACGCGTCCATCCAAACATCTCGCCCACTGTTACGTCCGACAGTGAGAACACGATCGCGACATGTGAACATGAACGTCGCTTTGCACTGCATGACTCTCCTGAGTCGCAAATTTCCTAACAGTGGTAACAGCCGCCGCCCTTTGTCGCCCGCCGGTCAACAGTTACACCCGCCCACCGGAGGACGCGCTCGTGAGCACCGATATGCATGCGTGGCCCGCAAGACCGGGAGGGCTCTGGGGGCGCAGCGTGGCTCTGCGTCTGATCCGGCGACGGGGTCCTGACGCCGGAGCGGGCGAGGGCGCGGCACCGGAACCGACGGCCGAAAGCTCGCGGCCGAGGCCAGTGACTTTCAAATGTTGAAATCTCCTTTGGTGTCGCTCGGCTCCCTTCGATCCTTTGGTGTTGCTTGCCTCCTTTGGCGTTGTCGATCGTATCTAAAAAAAACACGCGCGCGAGATTCCACACGCAACTGAATCCGCCACGCACCTCCGCCACCGTCGCCGGCCAGAACAGGAGCGCCATCTCCCGCCACGGGGCGGCGACGACAGCCATCCTGACGGCAGCCAGCCTCCCCGACAGGCCAGACCACACCCCCGTCGCCGAGACGGCGCCCGGGCCCGTGCCGAGGCGAGGCCGCAAAGGTCGGACCTCCGCCCCCCGCCCACCGACGACCGAGGCGTGGCGCCGGCTCAGTTGAGCGCGAGGCTGTCCTGGAAGTAAGCCAGCGAGAAGAGCGAGAAGCAGCCGACCATGATGCCGATGTTCTGCATGAGCAGCACGCGCAGGCCGGGCAGCACGCCAACGCCGCTGGCCTTCTCGGCAGCTTCGTTCATCTCCGGCACCTGGGTGAGGGTCGTCCGTCAGTGGGCCGGGTCAGGTCAGGGGTGTCAGTACACCAAGCCAAACCAGATGGGTCAGCACACCGCGCCAGGGCGCGATGGAGGCCTTCATGAATTTCCCACACCGATCGAGACACGCGCGGACGGCGCACCGACGGGCTCCAGCGTCGACAGGTCCCACCGAAATCCATCCTCCCCTCACCTCGCCCGCGACCTCAGCGCGACACCGCCGGGGCTCACCATGTCAACCAGCGAGATGTAGAGGAACATGCCGGCGGCCAGGGCGAACACGAAGCTGGTCGACTCGGTGAAGTCTCCGATCAGGATGCCCACCACCAGGCCCAGGTAGCAGGTGCACGCCGACAGGAAGTTGTACACCACGGCTTGGCGGACCGTCATGCCGGCGTCCAGCAGCACAGCGAAGTCGCCTGCCGACCGGAGGGCGGGTCAGCGGCGCCAGCAGAGTCCAGAGGGCGCGGCGGGGCGCGGCTCCGGACTCTAGAGGGCTCGGAGTGACCCGACAGAGTGACGCGGGGTCATAGTGACGCAACAAAGTGCCGCGGGGGTCAGCGTGAAGCGGGGGTCAGAGTGACGCGGCAGAGTGACGCGGGGATCAAAGTGACGCGGGAGTCAGAGTGACGCTGGGGTCAGAGTGACGCGGGGGTCAGAGTCGCGTGGGGGTCAGAGAGACGCGGCGAGTCAGAGAGGCGGGACAGAACAGGGGGCTTGGGGTCAGAGGGGTCAATATCCAACTGCTGGCTTTGTCACGCATTAACCTGTGTGATCCACAATCAAAATACATTGCATGCGGTTGCCATGCATTGTGGTCAAACACAAGGATGCATTGCAATGACTGCACCTGTATTCCGGCAACTTTCACATTTGGCATAACAACTTTGTCATAATTTGTTCTGGTGCCTCAGATGACTCTCGCCAACACTTAAGCAATAACCGCACAAGTGAATGACCAGTAATTAACATGAACATACCCCGAGTTTTCGCAAAAAAAAACGCATCTGAACCGCGCTCCCGACAATGCTCATGATCATGAGCGCACACATGCATGACCAACTATTCAAATACAAATGCTGTAGAATTTCCTGACCGAGTCACTTGCCAACACGCCTTGTCTAGATGTACGTCAACGGACCTGAACTACAGAGACACGTTTTCGGATTACCTCCGTCAGTACTACCCAGATGTAGTCGCCACGTGAAAATACGGCTTTTCGCCATCAAGTATGTTTGCGATAATTTGTTTCCGTCCATAAAAGAAAAAAAACAACAATGATTTGATGCACAAACCATCGACGCGAGCCGTTATCTGCACACGTCAAGTTACGCATGAGGCGCGCACGCACATGGCTAAGGACGGCATGCGCGCGCTATCACGTTGCTTTGCGCACCACAGAAGCTTTTTCACAAGTAACGTGCTTTGAACAACGACGGTGATTGGCCCCTAGCCCTTGCATGACGTATTCATTTCTTATTTTGGGAAGCGTGATGCGCGCCGCACGTTCGACACTTCACCAAAATACCTACCGCCGCTCTCAAGTCCTGTCCTTCCCCAAACACACAAAAAGGCCAAACGAATGTCACGCTCTGTCTGCTTAAAATAAGCAAACGTGCATTCCTGCAGGCAAGCGCATTGTCGAATAGCATGTAACATATTGCTGAAGAACGCTGACCAGCACGTAAATCGTTCATGTTAATTCTTTAAATGCTTCGCATATCAGTCACGGTGCCAGTCCTAACCCGTTCGCGTGCCGGGACAAAACGCTGCCGTTGTTGTGTTGACACTTGTGTTGTGTCGCCCACATACCCGGGCTTTCCTCAAATTCTCAACTGTGGATCAGCAAGCTGACAACCCAGTGCTGCGGGAGAGCCTTCGGACTAACCGAGTTCGTGTGGTAGCTCCTCGCACAGCACCGCCAAGCTGATGCTGATGCCGGTCAGGATGTTCTCGCTGAAGGCGGCGCCAATGCTGAGCCCGTCCAGGAAGTTGTGGAAGCCGTCGCCGAAGATCACCATCCAGGCGACGATGGCGATGGAGGAGAGCGAGCCGTCTCCCCGCTTGAACTGCACCTCGTGGTCGTGGTGGTGCCGGCTGTGCGGCTTCTGCGGACGGCCGGCAGGCGGCGCGTCAGTCACGCCCGGGCCGGGCCGCGCGGCGCCGGCCAGCTCGTCCGCGCACGCAGACGGCTAGGCCGCCGCGCAGACGGCTAGGCCGCCGCGCGGACGTCGCTGGACTGACTGGACAGACGCCGGTGAGGCGACGGAAGCACGCGGCGGAAGAGGAACACGACGCCGTCCCCACACGGGCCAGCCGACGACGCCACAGGGACACATTTGGGAGGTGGAAAGGCAGGGCGGTAAGCGCGCCTGAGTGGTTCATCGCTACGGCCTGGCTTTGAGCAGACTGCGGCGATGGGGCGTTGGGACCGGGCACACACCCCTCCGGACTATATCTCGGAGGGTATACATCAACAAGGATTCGACAAACGTCCTCTTTGTAATGGTATTGGTGACACAACCGATGATCTTCCCACCACTCGAACGAGCAATGTCGCGATTACTTTTCTAAAATTGCCGCACTCACGCCGCGCGGGTAAACAAAGCCGGCGACGACCGCCCGACGAGTCGGCAGCCTGACCCCTAATAAACCACACAGCCCCCTAGCAAACCCACCAACCAGCACCCTCGCCGATCACCGAGAGCACCTCCCGTCCGAATGCACGACCCGCGAGCTCCACCGCCGCCGGCCGGCGCGGCCGCCGCCCACCCGCCGTACCTCCTCCACCTGGCCGAACATGGCGCAGCCGCCACCCACCCGCCGTACCTCCTCCACCTGGCCGAACATGGCGCGGCCGCCGCCCACCCGCCGTACCTCCTCCACCTGGCCGAACATGGCGCGGCCGCCGTCCACCCACCGTACCTCCTCCACCTGGCCAAACATGGCGCGGCCGCCACCCACCCGCCGTACCTCCCTCCACCTGGCCGAACATGGCGCGTCCGCCGCCCACCCACCGTACCTCCTCCACCTGGCCGAACATGGTGCGTCCGCCGCCCACCCACCGTACCTCCTCCACCTGGCCGAACATGGCGCGGCCGCCACCCACCCGCCTTACCTCCTCCACCTGGCCGAACATGGCGCGCACGGGCTCCTGGTGCGAGCGGCGCACGGCCTCGCGGTCGGAGGGCACCTGCAGCGAGCAGCCGGTGGAGCCGAGCGCCAGGCTGGCCGACGAGGCGCTGCTCAGATCGCCCGGCTGCGGCGTCGTCAGCGCATCGTCCGCCGGCGCCGACAGTCGGCGGTCCTCGCCGCGCGCCGCCGCCTGCCGCTGCCGGTCGCCAACACAGGTCAGAGGGCCCCGAGCGGGCGGGCGGGGGGAGGGGTAGGGGGGGGGGCTGGTCACGAGGACGTAAAGAAACGGCGCACGCCCCGGTGGGGAAAAGGCCGCCAGCTGGATTTTTTCATCCATAAAAATATGCTCTCCTCTCGACGCCCCTGCTCTAAGATGGCGCACCTCTCTTCGACTGAGCTGGTATGTCGAGGCGAGTCGAGAACCGCTGCCTCATTTCAGATGACATTTGTGACCTGTGTATGATGTGCGGGATGCAAAAAGCAGAATTGGGCCCATTTGAAGCATGCTCAGAACTTGCACTGAGTTAAAAACCTTAGGAGACCAGGCTTGTGACAACTGGTGCTCAAGAAAGGGGACTATAGTCGTGACGAAATACTAGGCAAGTTTCCATTTCGTACCAGGCAAAACATATTTCGTACCCAAGGCGCAGCAATGCAAGTACGCCGTCCAAATTTGCCAATCCCAAGGGAATTAGCCTGTGACCATATTTGTCGAGCAATACGTGACCACATGGCCGCATCAAGCAGATACACAGAACGCGATGACGACTCTAGGATATACACAAGCACAGCACGGCCTGGGCATCTGGCCACCCAACAAATCATTCGAAGCTGACAAGCCCACAGATTCCAACACACGGCCAATCGTCACATTCACTTGGCTGAATAACCTTCTCCACACATACGCACGCACGCACGTACACATGCACGCATGCGCGCACGCACGCACGCACACACGTACGTACTGCCCCACCGACCAACTTCCTCAGAAAGCTAAGCCTTAATGCAATGTCAACACAAGAAAATAATCGACTCCGAAATTAGATTTGTCCCCCTCCCACCAACACACAAACAAACCATTGAGGCTCCGAAAACCACGCACATTTTGATGAAAAAGAAACAGCAACTGATGCTTCAGACGAAGGTCAAACCACTGCTACATGAAAATAATCGCCCGACCTATCAGTGGGTTGCGTGACCTACCATTTGACAAATCAGTCAGGTCGCGTTTCGCGAAACAAGAACAAATACTTCGACTACAAATTTGCGTGGTAAGTTGTGCATTTTGAATGCCAACAACAACACAACTCCCTCCATTCTTTGAAGACAAAGGAGGCGCTCGAACCTCTGCCAAACATAAAGAGCGTGGGACATTAAAACAAATATTTGTATTCTACGCCCTAGCACGTGGTGCACCTACGGAGTTGCTGAACACATAATCATGCAGGTCTCGTTTGGCTGGGGGTTATTAATTAGGGTTGCGGTTTCCGGGAAAATGCTGTGGTTTGGTCATTAATTTTCACCTTTCCGTCGACCCGCTTGACGAATCGCTGCGAGAACATCCTAAGCTTTTCGGAGCTTCGCCAATGGTTCAGTTAAAAAACGTGGTCACCTGTCAGCGCCATTACTGACACATGGTTCGTTTCAAGCCAATAAAACATCTGAACATCAGAGCAGGCTGCATTAGCGCTAGATTTTTTTCAGAAAAAATTCACTTAACACGTGCTCGGGTGGGGGTCAAATTGGCCCCCCCCCCAGAGGGCTTTTCCAGAATGGTTTCCGAACGGCGCGGCGCAGCCGCGCCAAATTTTGCATAGCTGTAGACAATTGAATAGCGGATCGCATGGCATCAAACATTTAGATGTACCTTGTAAGGTCGCTAACCTATGGCAGGTCTCAGGCCATGGTTTCAGCGGAGGCAATTTCTAGGGAATCCTTCAGTCTAATCCAGCAACGGAGCCATACATCTCTGAGATGCTTTTTTAAGCAACACAACAGTTGTATGAGCATATGACATTGACCTAAGGTCAGGTATGAAGGTCACACCAACCAAGGTCAAAACCAACCTGTTTTGTTACTCGAGGGCTTACTGTATGGGATAGATTCTGATGCTCACTTCGAATTTTTTGATGACAGGAACCGCATCATGCATCATCCATGGACTTCTTGGAGGTCAGGATAGGTCATTGACATAAAATGACCCAGGCGAACATTTTGTTTTAGGAACCTACTGCCTAGCGCAATCCTGGTCGCTTAGCCAAATGCAAAACTCAAAACAATCTTGTATTATTTTGGTCACCTTGACCTTCAAAGGGTTAAAGAAGGTCACTGACCTTAAATGAGCATGTGACCTTTTGCTTAGAAACGGTTATCTAGGTTCTGGGGGCACTTTGGAGACCACACTGGAACTTGACCTTTTTTGACCCCAAGGTCATGACCTAGGAACCTGAAACTTTGACCTAAGTGAGTTTACGTACAGGTCAACACACTCTGTAAATTTGGTATTTCTAGCTTTCTTAGTTCCAGAGTTCTCAGAGGGGTCAAACTAACCCCCACCCGAGCCAAGGGTATCTAGCCGGACACCCGGGCGCGTGTTAAGCATCTTCAACACCGCAGGACCATTTTCATTTTAAAAGGCTGATAACATGCTTGCGAGAGCATCCCTGCAAACAAAAAACATATTGTATTTAAATATTCGGGTACATCGGAGGCTGAAGCTCGGTGGACGGGACCGTGGCTTGGAAAACGGTGAGTTTGGGACGGGATTCACGCTGCTGGCTGCAGTTTCGCGGAAACGCAAGTTTTGTGAACGTTGAATGGACACGGATTTTCATGCGTTAAATAGCCTCATACTGAACCAATGTGAGCGCTGGGAAAACAACTGACGAAATAAAATGCTAGGAAACAACTGCACGCATAGTAGTTGTAAATAGTAGTTGTAAATAGTGGTCATTGTGAAGGTTGGCGACATGCTCTTAGTCCACGTACGAAGATGGACTACATGCTGACCCCAACGGTGTAGTACCATGCCTAGCGCCCAAAACTGGTCGTCACGGCTGAAGTTCATGCTGAATCTCCCGGGACCCGTTATATACATTCCACCAGGAAGTGGCGCCAAAGGGGAAACATTAAAACATACATTATTAGGCACATAAGAAAAGAAGTTTGTGTACCTTGCGTTAAGGGCTGAAATAATGAGATGCAATGGCCCAGGCAGAGCACAGGGGATACGTGCCCCCCAACGGTTTCGAGGGCCCGAAAGACCCTTAGGGAACTACGACTGAGGGCCCATTTGAGGATCTAAAAGGCTGGCCGGAGGTAGCACGGGGCCCTTCTGACCTGAACCGATACAGGGTATATATGACGGCCAGGCACTACCAGTAACGCACAGTTGTCAGCGTTGGTATGGGCCAAAGGCCTACTTCCCAAGCCGCGGCAGATCCGGGGCCCAGCGATTTACACTGGTTTGGACCCCGGTATCCGCCAGGCGTCACAAGGCCTAACGGACAGTCCCGTGTTGGCTAGGTGCCCAAATAGACCCGGAAGTGTTCCATGATGCCCCGTGACGGACTGAAGAGCCGGAAATGTAGCTAAACAAATCCCTGTCCCGTAGGGGCGCAGCATGAAATGGCAATGAAGAGCCTCTTTCGCCGATTGAGGACCCCTGACCCTCAGACGGCCCCCTGACCCTCAGCCGACCCCCCTGACCCTTAGCTGGCCCCCTGACCCTTAGCCGGACCACAGCCTGCCAGAAACCAGCATAAACTACGGGACCGCGCAGCGGTATCCACAGCGTGGCATAGCGATGACGCAAATCGAAGTTCGCAACGATTAGGAGCCAATTTATCAGTTTGCTTTCTGTATCGTCGAGGTTGGAAGCTTTCAGTGCTCATAATCTTACCCTCGCCCTCAGACAATACAGTTGGAAAACGCTCCCGAACATCCCTACCCCGCCATTTGACAATGCAGGCCACGATGCTCGGATGGTCAGTGTTGACTTCATGTGCCATGCTGTGCCCTTCAGGCGACCAACAGCACGATCTCACACTGCATGATATAAGACGACTTTACGCACATGGGTACAGCTTTCACTGGTACCTGTGGCCTGGACGCCAGTGACAGTAGGGAAGCCGGAACATTTTTGTGGTTTGACAATACAAAACGGCCTGAAGGTAGACTGAACTTTGGTAATCTTGGTGTGTGGTCGCACCCCGGTACACCTATAGGGGCCAAGATCTTCCGGGACACTTCTCGTGAGAAGGTAAACCAGTGTACTACAGCATCAGCATGTTTCCAAAGATGCTGTCCAGGCTTCAGTGTGTGGCCAGACGGCTCTCTTCAGCGAATCCCCAATCCGGAACATCCCCTCGATCTGCTGCTCTGCTCAGACGATGTGCTGCTCTGGTCGGTGTGCTTCTCCTCTCAGACGATGTCAGATAGCTTCAGAGCAGTCCAACTGGTCACGGACTTCGCGCATTGCAAATGCCGCTTGAAAACGGAGGCGTTTTTTCTACCTGCATGATGGTCAATTCTGAAGTTCTACGCGCCAAGTGAGATCTGCGCCCAGTGTGTTTACCGAGGTCATGCTGCTTGCTTTGACACCGGCGCCGGACGGGGAAGCCCAAGCCGTCTTCTAGAGCGACGCGGCAGCTCTATACACAAACACCCTCGAGTCCCAGGGGCCACAGCCGCCGTACTCCGGTCTCAACGCCCGCTATGTCCAAATAAACACCCAGTGCAGGCGTGACCTGTCGAACTAGAGCACGACGGGATCGCAGATTCAGTGCCGGCGGTTCGCGACCGGCTGGCCACGGATGTGGAGACGGGTGCTTCACGGGCGGATGCCAGCGCAGCTTAGCGCATGCTTGCGACCACTCCCGGCTTAGAACCTGCCGAAATACAATGGTTTTTTGGTTGCGATCGTCGCGCGTTGCCGGTGGTTACCGCGTATGCCGCGTCCACAGGCAACACCGGTCGTTACATGACCGGCAGTTAGGTGGACACATCGTCCTCGCATGGCCGACGCGCAGCGGCAGTCCGCGAGCGGGCCGTGCGACCCACGCGGCCGCTGAGGCCACACTGTTCCAGCCGCCGTCAGCCGTCACATGTCGCTGGACAAGGCCGAGTCGTCGCCCGAGCCGGGTGCGTTCGAGGTCGGCAGCGCGGCGCCGCCCGCCGTCCCCTGTAGCGCGTCCAGGGGCCTCGTCGGAGGAGGCAACAGGCGCCTGGCACCGCCTCGACAGGAGGAGGTGACTGCTCTGACCGGCACCTAGAGCACTGCGGTGTACTGACCATTGCTGGCACGGGGTGCACTGATGCAAAGGCCGTTTACAGCGCGGGGCACCCCATGGAAACCCGTCCTTACCACCAAACGTCACAAGAGTCGAGACCCGTCGTGGCAAAGCTGCCAGAACGAGCACCCTTCGAGTTCATGGTTGTGTCCGCGACAGTAACAATCCGCGCGTTCGCAGCCACATCAAATGCGACTCTCACTCCGCCCAGGGTTCCCAAAGTCGGAAAAGATGCCGTGCGCCAGCCTCCGAACCTCCGGTTATGCTGCTGTCACCAGCGATGCCGTACGCCGCCAGGGCCAGGTCAGCCAGGGGGAGGTTGCCGGAGCGAGCTTGCCACTGACAGCGGCGTCGGCGCGCCGCGGTGCCCTGTCGGCGGATGTGACGGCGCCCACGAGGCCGCGTCGCACCACTGCGGACGCGCCGTGTCGGCTCGGCCCCAGCTCTCCGGCGGTGCCTCGGAGAGCTCCCGCGGAAGCTCCGACGGCGCAAGCCCCCCCCCCCTCCCCCCCGACCCGGGCCCCACCGGCCGTCCCGGCAGGTCGGTGACATATGCGTGTCGTGGCAGGGGGGCTGGACCAGTTTCCTTTCAAAAGGCCGACAACATGCTAAGGGGTCTCATAAGTGCTCAGTAGATCGAATCGAAATAAGGTCAAAAAGGAAAACGACCAATCCATGACTGACTGCGAACGTTCATTCTTTTGAAGAATCGACAAGTGAAACAAATTACATCAAAGGGTTTTGAGCCTTCCCGCTCGCAATCTCAGAACAGCCTCAGTCGGGGTTGCAGTCTCTGTAAGACGGAATGGCGTTTGGCCAGCTTACGTAACACGAGGCGACGGGAACTGTGCGCGCGAGAATGTGAAATAACGCCCCCGAAAATATTTTCCAATAAACCTGACAATGAAAAAGATTAAACTGTGGCACATCGCTTTTTTACAATTTTGAGGTTGTCCACTTTGTCCACCAGATTTTTGTCCACTTATTACCCGCTGCTTAGTGTTAGCCACAAGACCAATGTCGAGCAGCTCATGGGGACTGCAACGCCGGGCGTATAAATATTTGTTGCGAAGTTTTGGGAGCGTGTGTGAGTTCAAAACTGTGCTACATCATTACCATTCCAGGCCAGCAAGTGTTGGTCATGTTAACACAAATTTCTGGACCCCTTTCGGTCTACAATCTACGTTTACGGGGCACTCAATATTGGCACTCAATATGGATTGTTAGTTTTTGTGAATGCTGTTTGTTTTTTTTTGCGCTATCTACCACCAGTCTGCCCGGAGCCTCGCGATCTTTGTCCTTAAAGACCCCCTGGAGAATGCGTTCAGAAAAAATCCTTTATGCGGAAAACCGCAACAAAACGGCACGCGCATAGCACTACGCACGCACCCAGCTCGGTGGTGTGTCGCGGTTTGCGATTCCTATGCACTGGGCTTGAGAGCTTGTGCGGCGAATATATTTTGGGCCTGTTGTGGAAGAGCTGCGAAGCTTACAATGACGATGCTGCTAAAAAAGCCCCCAATACCGTAGCACATATATGCACAAAAAAAAACAAAAAAACGGCGTGCTGTGCAAGCTCATTGCACACACTGCCAAAACTACGCATGTCGGACTTATCAACCGTGTGCCACTATCAGAGAACCATCTAGTGCAATTGTATTAATTTCCACCAATCATTTTTGAGGCAGAGAGCACGCCCGCTTGTTCATTTATGATTACGTTTGTGGAATTACAAGAAGCGATACCAAAGGCGTACTTATTCCGTGGCTGCGTAAGGTCAGATGGACTTAAGAAGTGCAGTGGCGTAATATCTACCACGATGCTTATCTTTGGGACAATAAAGTACGTAGCTTCGCACAGACAGTCACAGTGGTTCTTCAGGCCACTCTCTTTCCAACGTTAACTCCTTATAAAGGAAGAAATCGTGCGCGATTGCTAGCTTAGCGACATTTCATCGTTTTGCGGCAACGCTCATCACACCTGTATCAGATAAGGTTATAACCTAAACACCGAAATTCGATTTCAGCTGAGCGCATGACAACCGCACTAAAGCGACGCTCGTGCCATGGAACTCTCACGGTCTGCCAACATATCGCAGAAACAAATGGCATCTTACCATCGTCTGTACGACTTCTAGAGCGCTTGGTATATATACTTCCTGTCACTGCTAACTTGCACGATCACTGTCACACTGACATCGGCAGCACTGACTTCAAACCAACTGTACTGTCCCGACAGTGCGGCTGTCGACGCGTCGGCATCTTCTCGTAGACTGATCGGCCTGATTAATTCAAAGACACCTGCGCGGTGGCCTAATGCTGCCTCCCCGCTACTTAACGCAGCCGGGAACTTTGATGAAACAAACCGTCATTGTGGGCCCCTTCATACTCCGCGCCACATCCGGGAACTTCAGCGAGCCCAGTATGGCAGGTGTGGGCAGGGACTGCCATGATCCCCGAGACGAAACACATCCGATAGGGGAAATATTTCGACGCGTAGGGGAACCAGACACGGTCAGGGGCCTCAAACTGCTACCGTCCAAACACCATCAGGGACTGGGATAGTCATGAGCCCAACATGATCAGGAGCCCACAACACTGCTATAAAAATGTATATAAAAAAGTTCAGCGACAATGCTGTAGGATGCGACTCCGACCACCGTTACCAGGAGCCTGGCACAGCCAAAAGCCCAGACATGTACAGGGGCGCGGAACAGCCAGGGGCCCGGCACATCCACGAATGCAGCGTGACCAGGCGCTCTGAAACAACCAAGCATTAACGGCCAGAAACCCCGTCAGGTTAAGAGGTCAGCACAGTCAGGAGTTCCGACGCAGTCATGCCCCATCACGGTCAGGACCCCACATGGTCACGGACCCTGTCACAGCCATAGACCCCCCACATGATCCGGGTCCCGAAACAGCGAAGGGCCCGACTTAATCAGGACATGGCCAGGGGCCTCTGGCACGGCCAGGGGCATGACAATTACGATCCAGGCGCTATCAGGGGCTATAGCACATTGAGGGCTACGGCAAAATCACGGGCCTCATATCGTCATATATCTAGGCATGGCTAAGACTTTTTACATCACCATCGACGTCTACGGGAACATCCGTACAGCTAAGAGCATTGCCGCAGGTCGGGGGCCCGACTTCATCCAGGGTCTCGACCTGCCAGGTGTCCGACACCACAACCCTGACGTCACTTTCGAATTGTAACTGTGACAGGGATGCACTAATGACACCGATGCACTAGGTGGAATATCCGCTGTTTGACGTCGGCACACTCTCAGCTGACGAGTATTTGGGTTTGTGCCACTCCTGGTATGTAAGCACGTTCAACATCCGGGAACTTTCCGAACCAGAATGGGCTCCGCCCACTACCATACTCCGAGTATGCATACTGCAAATGCAATAGTGGCGGGATGTAGGCACTTAAAAATCATGTGCCTGCATAACTAATCGGTCGGCGCTCGAGCATACGTTGCCGAAGAACCAGTTTGTGGGGATACGGCATGTCCCCACAAACCAAAATGTCCCCACATCCCAGGTGTAGTACATTTTCATGTGCCGGTAAGCCAAGTATTAGCACACGCACGTACGCACGCACGCACGCACGCACGCACACACACACACACACACACACACACACACACACACACACACACACACACACACACACACACACACACACACACGCACGCACGCACGCACGCACGCACGCACGCACGCACGCACGCACGCACGCACGCACGCACGCACGCACGCACGCACGCACGCACGCACGCACACAAACTACAGCAGCCGAACTCAGCTACCTTCTTGTAGTCCAGCGAGATCTTCATCAGACGCTCCAGCATGAAGAAGAACCAGGCGCCCGCGAGGGTGAAGAGCGACGTACTCAGGTAGCCGTGGCCGCCTCCGTCCACCACCAGACTAAACGCCTGTGTCGGCGCACGGGTCACGGGTCACGGTTACGATCACGATCACGGTCATGGTCACGGTCACGGTCACGGTCACGGCCACTGGTCACGGTCACAGTCACGGGTCACGGCGAGCGGTCACATGTCCCGCGACATGACCGTGGCTGCGAGCCGAAACCGTGTTCGAGGATCGAGCGGTCCGAGGGGGACCGACCAACGGCCTGTGACATCACGTGGAAGAGCCACTGCTCTGCGGCACCAGATGGTGGAACGATCAATGACTTGGGACACAGGGCGGACGGGTCACCGGCCTAGAACAGGAGATGTGGAAAGGCGCGAGGCGGAAGGAAGGACAACTGGTCTACAACAGGAGATAAAAGGAGCGCTGACCCGCACCACGAGGTAGAAGAGCCACCGTATTGGAAGAATAGATGGTAGGGCACGAGGTACTGAGGACACACGAGGGTACAAAAGTACAGGGTGCAGGGCACAGGAGGTACGGGGACGCAGCACTGCCCTTCAGCGCGAGGCGGCCGGGCCACTGACCTGCGGAATCAGGTGGAAGAGCGCGCTGGAGGCGAGCGAGCCAACGGCCAGTCCGATCAGGCCCGGCATCAGCCGCTCGAAGCAGGCGCGCCCCAGCAGCGGCAGTAGCAGCACGGCGAATATCGACGACAGGCTGATCAGCGTGACGAACAGCATGCCGTACCCCCAGACTGGAGAGGCGGGCACACACAGTTCAGGGTCACCGGGTGGCGGGCATCTGAGGCCGACACATAGGCGACCGAAAGCGGACAAAGAATCACGCGCGCTTGTTGTAAACGGGCAAACAAGGGACTATCCGCCAACTGTTCATGCTGCTCTGCGAAGGTCTACGCGAAATGCTCAGCCAGAGCCAAGCGCACACAGCGGGGTGAAGGGTGGGGGTGGGAGTGGGGGGGGGGGGGGGGCAAGCATCTGACGGTCCCTTTGGGTGGACCCTGGGGTGACCGCCACGACATTTCGTCCACACTTGAGTACAGTTCCCGCTCTGGATCCAATCCCCACCGCCAGCAAGCTTGGGACCGAGCCTCACAGCCTGTCATCCAACCCCCGCTCTGGTAAGCTTGGGACCGAGCCTCACAACCTGTCATCCAACCCCCGCCCCTGGCAAGCTTGGGACGGAGCCTCACAGCCTGTCATCCAACCCCCGCCCCTGGCAAGATTGGGACCGAGCCTCACAGCCTGTCATCCAACCCCCGCTCCCTGGGACTGAGCCTCACAACTTGTCACCGGAAATCACAGCTACAATCGCTGATCTGGACCTGACCCTGCTCCTGTACCCGCCCTCGGACCCGTGTGCCACCCTCGGTCGCACTGACTCACGACTCCCAGTCCGAGTCTGAGTCTAAGTCTCACCCTCCTCGGGCCGGGGTTTGCCACGGTCCGTCTTGCCGGCGCGCTGCGTCAGCCGCTGCAGACAGCCGGCCGACTGGCTCTGCTCCAGCAGGGCCGGGCACAGCTCGCGCACCGCCGACGGGCCGTCCACCGGCGCCGCCGACAGCAGGCCGGCGGCCGACACGCACTGCAGCTGGATCGGCAGGCAGGGCGTCAGGCTGGTCACGCGCCTACCATGGCAGAGACGGCGTGGGGTGCTCTGCTCGTGCGCACGAAACGGGGTCCCACCAGACGGCATGCAGCGTGGGCGGACATCGCGAACGCAGAGAAGTGGGAGTCCGACGCGGACGGTCCATGCGACGCGTCTGTGTCACGCAGCGTGGACAGGAAGACGAGCAGCACGTGCGTACAGTACCGGGAAAACTCAGCACGGTAAGACACGAGCTGGGAGGCGTCGGACGGGGCGCCGCACGGGAACTTCACGCCGGACGACACCACAATGGGATGTTAACAGACTGAGTGACAGCGCAGGCAGGCAATGTACCGCACGGGCGTCATGTAGCAGGCATCACAGGACAGACGAGTGTGGTGCCATCTGACAGGGCACATCCGCGGGGGGCGCCGAGGCACGCGGCATCACAGGACACGGCGCGGATAGACACCGTGAGACGCTGTAGGATAGCAGCGTTAAAGGACACCAGATAACCAAAATGAACCCTGGGATGAGCCAAGGGGCTCGCCGCGATCAGCATGAATGGTTATCAACCAGTGTAAACACTGACCCATGGTTAGCGGGTGCAGCGATAAGCAGCACTAACAAACCAGCGGCACCACGCCAGAGAAAACCGCTCCTCCACGGCGCCCCGGCACGTTCTGCGCCGCGCGAGCCTCCCGCTGGAGCCGCGCCTGCTCCCTGTGCCGCAGCCCCCGCCCCCTCCCCGTGGACGAGCCACACCCACCTGCTGCGCGTCGCGGCAGGCGTCGCCGTGGCAGGTGTGGACGGGGGGCGCGGCGGCCGCCTGCTGCACGGCGGAGACCAGCCGTGACAGGCCTGCTTCCGTCCAGGTGCCGTTCTCGGCGTACTGCCGCGTGAGGCGCGCCGCCGGGCCCGGGTCGGCGGCGGAGCCGGAGGACGGCCGCAGCGGCGCGCCCGCCAACACCAGCAGCAGCGGCAGCAGCGACGGCAGAGCGGCCATGGCAGAGCTGGCCGGAGATTTTACCATCGTCACACGCATCGTCAGTGGCCACTCGTCGCGTCCGTTGAACGTGAGGCAGACGTACAAGACACGCAAGATGATACCATGCTGAAGGTCATATCATGAAGGTGACACCATGGTGCCGATAGTGACTGGCGCTGAAATCAATGCACATTTGTTCACATGACGGCTGCAAGCCTATCGTCGGCGATGCATTGCACAGTAAACACACATATGTTGCAAATGTAGACAGGGAAAGTCCCAGACAAATGCAGAGGAAGGCGCAAGGGAAAGATGGCTCAGACTTCAAACTGGGCAGTTTCAGACGTATTGCATCATGACATCCTTCAACACGCCAACTGCGGGAGGGAGACATGCTCCCAACGATGCCCCCAAAGTTAAAAGTGAGGTTCGTCCATCACATGTAACGCTTGCCTCAATGTCTTTAAATGTGCAACAGTCCCATTACTTCGGTGCCATCCGGACGGTACGTTACGAGCGCGTTTTGCCTAGCGTTGTTAGAGAAGGAGGGTTGCAAATGGTAAAAAAATCCGTACCGCAATTTACGCACAGTCAGAAAGGTTGTAACTGAGGGTGTCTTCACCCAATAGCCAACAGGAAAACGTCCTCCTTATCAGACTGTTATGTGCATTGATATGTGCACAAATCAACCTTGACACTAAAAACATCAGGGTAAATACGTAAAGATAAGTAGATCGAGAACATGCGCAAGTGATTAATGTCATAGGATAAATATCGCATACCACTCACGCGCGAAATAGCATTTGTTTTCGATGAAAACTTGGAGATGTGCGCTCCCCTCTCTCCCCCCCCCCCCCCCCCCCCCCCCACTGCGAAGTATTGCACACGCCCCTGGCGCTAGCGACCGAAACAGACAACAATCTGGCTGAAGAAATACCAGCTGACACTGAAGGGCAAGGTCAAGTTCACACATAATAACGCTGCGACGCACATCACACAAAATATATCCGGACCCCAAACACTTTTGAAAATAATGATTTTATGCATGCATGCTTTTAGATCGCGTGCGACAATTAAGGCTTGGTATCCACTGACAAAGGAAAAAAAGGGGTCAACGTGCATCCCCTTCTATCCTCTTCAAATTTTATCAACATATGTTAACGGCTCAAACAGAAGATTTCTGAATAAATACATATAAAGCCCTGCTGAGTGCCTGCTAACTTACAAATGGATATTCAGCACGTTTTGGACAAGGTATAGGTGAGTGTACGCGACGATGAGGAGATGATCATCAGACGGCTCTTCAAGGCAAAGTCGTATATGACACTGCCTGTGGCAGGCATGTGAATGTGTATTCGCTGAGCGTTGTGGATTTTGTTAAAATAGACAGAGATAGACTGAAATGTGAACTCGCCCAAGGAAATCAGCATATGGAAGATAGCGGGAGGCGCTTCAACGCAATGCCGTGCATCTCTCACCATCTCCATGCAGTGCAACTTTCCAACTTCTCTCACAAATAGTGTCGAGATGAGAAATGATATCTATCAAACAAGTGACAGCACGCTAAGATGATTAAAAGAGAATAATGACGATGAGCGCTAGGCACAGCCTTTCGCATATCGCCTCCCCGAACAGACAAAGTGTGTCCCCGTTTGACCTAACATGTCAATATCGTGACATTCAGTCTCAGTATCTCATTCACGCAAAATACGACACGCTCCTTTAAAATTCACTCGTTTAGGGACACCTCATGCCCATGTGTGAAGGGAATCCCACACATCGACATTGCCGATGGTTTGCATTACTATTCGTAACAATGTCGTTAGGGTGTGTCCCTGAGTCAAAGCCAAACCAAACGCATTGCTTAAAACAAACAAATACGTGCTTTTGTAACGCATTGTATTCAATGGTAAACATCTCCACCCTGCAGATCTTCCTCTTTTTTGGCCATCGCTGATAATCCCTGCCACCACCTTTAGTCAGTGGCAAATACTTTGCAGCTGTAGCTTCACAAAAGGTACCTCAATAACCTCCATGACTTTTAGCATGGGTGGATGAGTCAAAAAGACGAACGTACCCAGCACACATGTTTGTTTTGAAAACTACGCATCCCATAGTTTTCTAAATTTCAAATTCAATCGGTTAAGCCGACGAAGTGGGTGTTAAGGTGGCAAAATGGTTACCCAACACAACATTTTTCTCAACACTGTATCAAACGCCTTAAAACGCAAAGGGCTTATCAAAAAGCAAACACAGACCACACAGATGCCAAAACCAATTATTCGACTGTCACAAAACCCTAGACGTTTAGTGTGTAATGGGTGATTTCGACCCCAAGAAAAATAAAAAGTCGTTATTTTTACCACCGCCCAAAAATTATCGTTGGCGGACCACTGATTTCTCAGAACCCATCGGGAGATCATTACACAACTTACATCATTCGACACGTCATAATGACCTCTTGCAGATACGGAAATGTGACCTTAACACGCGTCGGGTGGGGGGCAAATTGATCGCCCCTGAAGGTTTTTCCCAATGGTTTACGAACGGCGCGGCGTAGCCGCGCGAAATTTTGCATAGCTGTAGACATTTGAATAGTGGATCGTCTGACATAAGACTTTGGATGTACCTTGTAAGGTCGCTGACCTATGGCAGGTCAAAGTCAGGCCATGGTTTCAGCGAAGGCACGTTCTAAGGAATCGTTCAATCCGATCAAACAACGGAGTGTTAGACGAGGCCATACATTTATGAGATACTTTCTTAGGAAACACAACAATTGAATCAACAACTAGCAATGTCCTAGGGCCAGGAATGGAGGTCAGACCAAGGTCAAAACCAACCTGTTTTATTACCCTCGGGCTTGCTGTGTGGACAGGTTTCTGATGCTCATTTCGAATACATTGATAGCGGGAATCGCATTATACACCTTTCATGGACTTCTTATAGACCAGAAAGGGGCACTGACCCAAAATGACCCCGGTCAACATTTTGTTTTCAGCAACATACTGCCTAGCATGATCTTTGTTGCTTATTCAAAGGCAAAACTCAAGACAGTCTTATATTATTTTCATCATGACCTCTAAAAGGTCAAAAAAGGTTATTGACCTTATCTGAGCGTGTGACATTTTGGATAGAACAGTTGCCTAGGTTCAGGGGGTCCTTTGGACGCCAATCTGGAATTTGACCTTGTTTGACCTAATCTGACCCAAAGGTCATGACCTAGGATCCTCAGACTTCGACCTACGTGAGTTCACGTATAGGTCCACACACCCTGTAAATTTGGTCTCTCTAGCTCTCTTAGTTCCCGAGATCTCAGGGGGGGGGGGGGGTTCAAACTGACCCCCTCTACCCGCGCGAAGGGTATCCAACCGGCCACCCGGGCGCGTGTTAAGCCAGGTAAAACATCGTCAATTTGGGCAAATTCCAAGCTTCTTGTTTTCCGTCAACTAAGCACTCGGAGCCTTTTAATCACGAAGCCTTTGTCATTTAACGCGTCATTCCCGACTTCCTCCTGACAATTAAAAAAATGGTAAATCTTGGTAAGGTCAAAAGTTGGCAATCTCACTATATTCCAAAAATTCTGTTTGCCGGCAACCGCATCCCAGAATCTATGCGTATAATCGGCTCGAAACCCTAGGTGGGCCACTCGATGTACCAAACTTGATCCCCTCTTTCAGTTTGGAAACCCTGGTGGAAAACCTGGAAAATGGCGACCCCCGATGGCGGCAGGCGAGGCGACGAATCCGAAATTTAGTGCGCACGATTACGATTCGCCGCAGTCCGAAGCTTGAACTCGAAGAAAGCTCAGTTCTCACAATCTGTTGGTGCGATCACTACGAAATGTTGGGAAAACCGACGTTTGACTTGACGTAGCATCAGCACTTTCGGAGCTTCATGCGCCAATAACTATGGCGTGTTGAATGGCGGTTTGGCGATGTTCACATGGTA